GAAGTTTCACTGATGGAGTCTGAACAGATCCAGCAGAGAGATCCTTTCCCGCGGACAACCCATAGGATACACGAAGCCAGCGATCCTGCCTCATCCAGAAAGTACCATGATGTCACAGAGACTTTCATCATGAGTCAAGTTCCTGGAAGTCAGGAGGTGGAAGAGAAGGAAGATCCGTCTCTTTCCCATGATCTAGCACTTCTCTTAGTTATGAAAGAACATATGTGGGACGTATCTTCTAACCCTGTGGAGAAGGATACTTCTTCCCAAGAACTGGAAAGAAGGCCAAGAGATTTAGAGAACTGGGAAGAATTTTCAGATGGAAAACAGAATCTCAACAGAGGACAGCGCAGCTCGAAAGGAAGCAGGGAATCTTCCTTAAATTCCTCTGATGGGGAATTTGCAAGTTATTCTTCAACCAGTTCCCAGTCTTTCCTTCTGGATACAACCAGCCCTGCTCTTTCCTATCCAAGGAGGGCCAGTGCAGGACAGATGGAGAGCCAAATCTGTGATGCTAGCTTTGGCCAACCTACAAGTTTGTGTGACACACACTCTCAGACACGGCGTGAGGACTCAGCAATGACAGACACGCTTCCTTGTCAAAAAAACCCAGTCAATGAATCTCCTTTGGTGATTCATAATATTTCAGATTGCCGCAAAAGCGCCGATTTTTCCAATTCCAGACCAGCCGAAGAGCCTTCGTGGAAACTGGAGACACAGCGTGAGGAGAACAGAAGCCCTTGCGAAGGAATGGATGTTGCGATGAGGATGAATGAAATTTCCTCTGAAAGAGAGGAAGCGAGTAAACGATTGAGCCATCCTTCCTCAGAAGAGGAAGAGTTGAATTTAGACAGGGTGCAAAGAAAGGCAGGCAAAGTTTTATCCCTGGTATCTTCCAAGGAAGTGGAGGATCATTCAGATATGTATGATGAAATAGGAGATTTGGAGGTCCAGGAAGAGGAAGAGAGTAATGTTGGAGTAAGCAACTCTTCGTTACTCAAGAAAAACGTCCAAACCAATGATCATATAAGCAATATGAATTGTGAGGAATCGGAGTCAGGCCAAAAACGGCTATCAATCACAAGGAAGTCAGAATTTGCAGAATCAGAGGCGCTGGAGTTGGCAGGCAGCGAGGAAGAGGGAGGGAAGGATTTGAATGAGAAAGCAGCAAAGAGCAACGCGAAGGCAAATCTGGAGGAAGTACTGTGGTCACACAATGACCAAAAACAAGAAGAATGGACTGTGCAAGCAACAATAGACTCCGTGCCTATCAGATCGGGCCAGGGCCCACTGGATTCTTTGGGAAGCAGTTTGGCTCTTTCTGGTTTCAACGATAACAGTTCTGAAGACCTTGCTTTCTCTTTGAAGGAGGTGTCCTCAGCTGATCACTCTCCAACGTCAAGTTGTGCGTTGTCTGAACCTACGACTACTCCATTCCCTAGAATGACCCCTGCAGGTTTTCTGCCAGATTGTGGAAGCCCAAGAACACAGGCTGCCATATATCACAGTTCTGGACAAGTGGAACACTCCGGCATCGATGAAGAAGCAAACGAAATGTTCTGTTGTGATCAACATGGTGCACAACTCACCGTGGGTGTTGGAAAAGAGGATATTGGAAATGAGGACATTGGAAAAGAGGAAAATGTAAGGCATGTGGATGGCGAACAAGTAACACAATTGTTTACAGATGTAGCGTTAGGCATTGACTCCCAAGATCTTCATGGATCTCAAGCTATGGGCAGTTCTTCTGACACTGAAGAAAATCCTGTCCCATCGTTGAGGACTATAATCGCTGCTCTCCTGCAAGAAGATCCTATTAAGGGAGCCATGGATGAGACTGCCACTTGTGCAGGAGATGGATCAGTTTTACATTTCTCCAGTCAACTGGACACAGCGATAGTTGACGAAACTTCAGCACCGGACAGTGATGGAGAGGATCATCTTCCCGCTTTTGGTGAGGACTTCCTCGAAGACGCTCAGAGTTCTACTTCCAAAGCCCTCCCAAACTCCTCTCTGGAAGAAGGCCTGTCCAATATAGCCAAAGAGATGATAAAGTTAAGTCTTTCTTCCTGGGGTTCGGTGCAAGACACTAACGAAAACGATGTGAAGTCTCATCGACAACTGAAACCAACAATTAAGAATGCTGTGTTGTCCGGGAAGGAAGCAGCAACAGATATACATTGCACAGAACAAGATATCTTAACCAGTGAGTCACCATGTTTTTCAGTTCTTGGAAAAGAGAGAACAGAATGTGACTGTAATGCTGACAGCCTCCCAACTTGCAGGACTCTCTTTGCAATGAACACCGATGCAGCTCAGCTAACACAACCTTTGGCCCCAGCTCTAGAGGGGGACTCTGAGCAGACTTTGGCCCTCGATTCTGCTTCGCTTTTATCCTCCAAGCAGCCTCTCCAGTTTGTAATCTCCCCACCCACGGCAAATTTTAACACCCAGCCAACTCCCCGGGCCTTAATCCTGACCGACTCCTAGAACAACTGTCCTCTTCCAGCCAGGTTAATCCATTAACCCCAAAATCTTCTGCCAACGAGACTGTTTTGGAGCATTCGTCTTTATCCCCTGAAACCAGATTATCTGAGCAACTTTCCACTTCTGAAAGTGACTTGGATCAGTGTTGCCAAGTTCCATATCTGTACACAACTCTAAGCAGTCTGTACCTGTGTCACACCATGCCAGTTTACCCGTTCAGTCTAGAAGTTCTGTGTTTCCTTCACTTACTATCAATGCAGCTTCCCAGCGGACTAACTCTAAACAGATCACACAATCTGTAGCTGCTGGACCGGGCCACAACTTCCAGACACAACCTTCATACATTGCTGTTAGCAGGAGTTCTCACAGTTCCCGATCAGATTCCAATTCCAGGAAGCATTCCCTAGTCAGGGACAATCCCTCTACACAGCAGAGGACCGAGGCTTCAGAAAACAACCCCCTTGTCTCTCGTACAGGAAGTGATGAACTGACACATCCTAGTCCACAGGTTGGCCGTCACGCCTGTTGGAACTCATCCTCTATTTCCAAAAGAGGTGACCTTGTCTTAGTTTCAAGTTTGGACAATAGAATGGAAGAGTTCTCTGGTCTTCCATTGGCCACGTGCCCCGAGTTGGATCTTTCTTTGTCGGACTTGCAAGGTGAATTTTTAGGAAACGGTGCCACGGGAGCAGATTCCTTCATCAATGTTCCTGAAACAATGTCCAAGTTTGAAGATACGCCTGATGGGAGGTCTTCTCACTACACTTTCCATCCCTCAGGAGATCGTGAGAAACCAGGCGAAACCAAGTCCACCAATGTAAGGCAGGCTCCTCTTCTTTTAGCGTTCACTAACCCAATCCACTTTCTCCAGCTCGGACCTCCTTCGCCCCCAAGCTTTCCATACTCCGTGGTGCATCAGGATCTACAGTGGCCGGAGCAAGAAACCAGGACTTCAAATGACCCAGTTGCGTGTTTCTCTGAAGGCCCAGGAAGGGTCAGAAAAGTCCTTGAAAAATCAGCGGGGGAACCTGTTTGCCCAGAGATCCATAGAAAAGGCCTGGAAGGCAGACATCCGCGCCTGGAGAAGTCCTCCAGCTGTCCAGACAAAAACATTATCAAGTTGGGTACCAAAGAATCTGCTTTCAGCGCAAAGAAGCAGGAGGCAGGGGCCAAGCAGCGAGCGAAAAGCAAAGATTGGCATCGACACGGCTTAAGAAAGATTTCGATACCGACTGACGGTGCTGTAGGTGAGCATTTTGTCCAAAATTGCTGGAAAAACAATTGTGTGCCATAGAGGAACAAGGAGGCAAAACCTGATTCCATAACTCTTCTGTTCTACCCTGTTTCCCCGAAAATAAGACCCAATTGGAAAATAAGTCCTAGCATGATTTTTCAGGATGCTCGTAATATAAGCCCTACCCCCAAAATAAGCCCCAGTTAAGATTGTCAGCCAGATGAATGCATTTAGTACTGTATTTCCTCCAAAATAAGACGTAACCAGAAAATAAGCCCTAATGCATCTTTTGGGGCAAAAATTAATATAATTTTTGGTCTTATTTTTGGGGAAACACAGTAGTAGAAGCTCTCAGTTTAGTAACACAGGTAGCCCTTATCTTACAATACGGTAGCCCTCGACTTATGACAGTTCATTTAGTGACCATTCGAAGTTGCGACATCACTGAAAAAAAGTGACTCAGGGCGATTTTTTCACACTTACGACCATCCAAGCATTTGGATGCTTGGCAGTTGGTTCATATTTATGATGGTTGTGGGTATCCCCATATCATGTGAACAACTTTTGCGACCTTCAGACGAGCAAAGTCAGTGGGGAAGCCAGGTTCACTTAGCAACTGGTTTATTTATCAATTTGTGCATTCACAACTGCAATGATTCACTTAACAGCTGTGGCAAGAAAAGTCGCAAAATGGGGCAAAACTTACTTAACAAATGTCTCACGTAGCAGCAAAAAAATTTGGCTCAATTACGGCCGTAAGTCGAGGACTACCTGTAGTTCATCTAGTGACCGTTCGAAATTACAACGGCACTGAAAAGAGTGACTTATGACCATTTTTTCACATTTACGATCATTGGCATCCCCATGGTCACGTGGAGATCGACTTTCGTGATCTTCTCACAAGCGAAGTCAACAGGGAAACCAGATTCCCTTAACAACATGTTAGTAACTTAATAACTGCAGGGATTCACATAGCAACGGTGGGCAAGAACGGTTGCAAAATGGGACAACGCTCACTTAACCGACGTCTCACTTTGCAAGCAGGAATTTTGACCTCCGTTGTGGTCGTAAGTCGAGGACTATCTGTACATTGATCAGCAGTGTCTACGGGTGGGGTCCAAAAAGCCAAGATGGCAGTAATCATTCTTTATATATATATATGTATGTATGTATGTATGTATGTATGTATGTATGTATGTATGTATGTATTTGTTTTCTGAGGTTTTCGCGGGTGTTTGTATGTAGGTCTTTGGTTATTCGGGTTTTCTCCCGCGTAAAATTGGAGGTTTCTTGGCAACGTTTCAATGAAGTCTCATTCGTCATCTTCAGGCTGGTGAAGCCGAAGACACCAGCCTGAAGATGACGAATGAGACTTCGTTGAAACGTTGCCAAGAAACCTCCAATTTTACGCGGGAGAAAACCCGAATAACCAAAGACCTACATATGTATGTATGTATGTATGTATGTATGTATGTATGTATGTATATACATTTTTATTAAAATGTCTATGGAGATTCTCAGTCATCCTGGTCATAGTTGTCTCAAAGGTAGAATCCTGATCCAGAATGGCCAAAATGTTATTAGCATACAAATGTGAATTCTGATCCCCTTGTTCAACATGGCAGTCTTGAAAAGTCTGCAACTCAAAGGTGTCAAACTCAATTTCACTGAGGGCCGCATCAGGGCTATGATTCACCTTGGGGTGGGGGTGGGGCGGCTGGATATGGCTAACTGAGCGGGCAAGGCCAGTTTGATGTCACTCCCCAAACTGCTGGCATGTTTCCTCTTTGCACTGGGTAGACTGGGCCAGAGTGATGTGGGCCGATGTTTCCTATCTGCATTGGGTAGACCAGGCTGAAGCGATGCGGCCGGCCCCTTACATTTTCGAGGATGGCTCCCAGAGGTGGGTTTCAGCAGGTTCTGACCAGTTCTGGAGAACCGGTAACGGAAATTTTGAGTAGTTCTGAGAACCGGTAGTAAACATTCTGACCGCCCGCCCCCATCTATTCTCTGCCTGCCGAGTCCCAGCTGACCAGGAGGAAATGGGGATTTTGCAGTATCCTTCCCCTGCCACGCCCACCAAGCCATGCCACGCCCACCAAACCACACCCACAGAGCGGTAGTAAAAAAAATTTGAAACCCACCACTGATGGCCCTGTGGGCTGGATCTGACCACATCGCGGGCCGGATCTGGCCTTGAGTTTGACACCTCTGTGGTAACGGCTTCTCAGATCTCTCTGGATCTCAGGGCAGCTGTGCCTTTGGTCACCCTCACCACATGCTCAAAAGTGACCTCATCGGAGAGGCCTTGACTGAATCACAGAGATTCAAGTCTTTTAACTTGTGTCTCTTGTTCTTCCTTTCTGCAGAAGTCTCCATAGCCTCTCTCCATGCGAAAGAGGAAGCCGCCGGACACAAAGACAGAGCCAATCACTTAGACTTTGTGAAATACGGGTGAGTCCCTTCTCGTCAGCGTTTTGCTGTGAAAATCCTCTCTCCCACAGAGGTGGGACTGTGCCAAAAAGGAAAACAGGGCAGGGTGGAGAGCTTGGGTGCAGGGCATGTCTCTCCTAAGGAGAGAAGGTCCAAGCCACATGAATCATCAGGGAGATCAGAAAAGGGTGGGAAGGAAGCCGAGTCTCCATGAATTCAATGGTCCAGCTAGCAGGCCAAATTACAGTAGGGGCCAAAATTGTGGAAACCTTTTGGGAAAAGTGTATTTTCTAAAACTAGCTAATAATGCCACTATTTTATTTTATTTTATTTTTTTGGAGTAGAACCATAAAATTATGTATCAATGGAAAAATAATTTAATCAAGAATGTGATGCAATAACTTTTATGAGGATTTACTATTAGAATAGCAGTTACAGTATAAAGAAAAAAAAAGGGAAACACGTAGAAAAAACGAGATATACAAAAATTATCACCGTGTCAGCTAATACCTAGTTGGGTAATGTTTAGCATGAATGACGGCCTTACAACGTCTTCCTATAGAGTTGTTTTAGTTCTGCAGCTGTTATAATGTGAAACCAAGATTGAATGATGGCTTCTATTAACTGAGTTTTATTGCTGGGTTGCTTCTGACTAACAAGTTTATTTAGTCGGCTCCGTAGATTTTCAATTGAGTTAAAGGTCTGGGCTATTCCCAGGCCATTCCAGCAGTGGAATAGGATTCTCTTGAATCTCCAAAAAAAAAAAAAAAAAAGTGGTGTTATTAGCCATCAAACCTCAAAAATACACTTTTCCCAAAAGGTTTCCACAACTTTGGCCACTACTGTAAGCCTGCAAACCGTTATTTTGACGCTTCTCCAGTCAGCTCCCAATACAGGTACTCCTCAATTAATGACCGGAATTGAGCCAAGAATTTCTGTTGCTATGTTGAAACGCGTGTTCAGTGAGCTTTGCCCCATTTTACGACTTTTCCCACCACGGTTGTTAAGTGAATCGCTACCGTTGATAAGTTAGCAATCTGGTTTTTAAGTGAATCCGGCAAAGCTGGCTGAGGAATTCTGGGACTGGAAGCCCACAAGTCTTAAAGTTATCACGGTTGGAGACCCCTGCTTTAAAAGATAGTTTTGCAGATTTTTCCTCTGATGGTGCAGATGGGGGGAGACCAGTGGTGGATTCCTCCCGGTTCGGTCCGGTTCGGCTGAGCCGGTAGCGGTGATGATATGACGTCACCGAACCGATTCTCCCCCCCCCACGTTATTCTTACCTTTTATTTGGTCCCACCCCCAATCAATTGCTGCCTCCTGAATCCCAGCTGATGACTAGAGGGGAAAAAACTGTCTAAACTCTTGCCGTGGGGCTTCAAAGGGCCGTCCTACAGCTGATCAGTGTTAAAAGCAAACAAATGAGTCGGGTCGTAAGTGCGAGGACTGGTCGTGCGAGGACCTTCCAGAAATGACTCTGACCAGCTAGCCACGCCCACCTAGTCACATGACCTCCAAGCCACACCCACAAAACAAGCCACGCCCACAGAACCGGTAGTAAAAAAAAAATTAGAACCCACCCCTGGGGGAGACTGCCTTTTTGCTCTGATGCCATTCATTTGCCAAAAGGAAAGAGGGAGGAGGGAGAGCGAACGCTCCCTTCCCCCTCTTAAATAAGTAAAAAAAATAGGTGGATGTCCTCCGCAGTAGAGATGGAGAAATCTTGCCATTCTCCAGAAAGTCAGCCTGCAGACAAAGATTATGTTTAGTGGTTAAGGCAACCGGGCTAGAAAATGGGAAGCTGCGAGTTCTAGTCCTGACATAGGCATGAAAACCATTCTGGGTTGACTTTGGGCCGATCGCTAGGTGATTAAGAGTTCTAGTCCCGCCTTAGCCATGCAAGCCAGCTGGATGATCTTGGACCAATCACTCACTCTCTCTCAGAAGCAACCTGGAATTGAGGAGAAACTTCCTAACTGTGAGGACAATTAACCAGTGGAACAGTTTGCCTTCAGAAGTTGTGGATGCTCCATCACTGAAGGCTTTTTAAGAATTGTTAAGAAGAATTAAGAATTATGAAGAATTATTAAGAATTAGAATAGAATAAGAATTAGAATAGAATAGAATAGTGTAGAATGTAGAATGTGGAAGAATTATTAAGAATTGTTAAGAATTGTTAAGAATTAAGGATTAAGAATTATTAAGAATTAGAATAGAATTAGAATTAGAATAGAATAGAATAGTGTAGAGTGTAGAAGAATTATTAAGAATTGTTAAGAAGAATTAAGAATTATTAAGAATTATTAAGAATTAGAATAGAATTAGAATTAGAATTAGAAATAGGGTAGGATAGGATGGAGCAGAGTGGAGTGGAGTGGGGTAGGGTAGAGTATGGTAGGGTAGAGTGGAGTGGAGTGGGGTAGGGTAGGGTAGGATAGGGTAGGGTGGAGTGGAGTGGAGAGTAGAGTGGAGTGGAATGGAATGGAGTAGGGTAGGGTAGGGTGGAGTGGAGAGTGGGGTGGAGTGGAGTGGGGTAGGGTAGGATAGGATAGGGTGGAATGGAGTGGAGAGTAGAGTGGAGTGGAGTGGAATGGAATGGAATGGAATGGAGTAGGGTAGGGTAGAATAGAATAGAGTGGAGTGGAATGGGAATGGAATGGAGTAGGGTAGGGTAGGGTAGGGTAGGGTAGGGTAGGGTAGGGTAGAGTAGAATAGAATAGAATAGAATAGAATAGAATAGAATAGAATAGAATAGAATAGAATAGAATAGAATAGAATAGAATAGAATAGAATAGAATAGAATAGAATAGAGTTAGAATGGATCTTGGAGATCTTCTAATCCAACCCCCTGCTCAGGCAGGAAACCCTATACATTTCGAAACCCTATACCAGTCACTTATCTGAAATGGTATAAGACAGGGGTGTCAAACTCACATCGTCACAGCGGCGTCACGTGATGTATCGGGACTTCCCCCTCCCCCTTCGCTAAACCGGGCACAGGCATGCCCAGCACGTGACGCGGGCCGGGAGTTTTGACAGCCCTGGTATAGGATCTCCTGCTTGAGTAGGGGGCTGGACTAGAAGACCTCCAAGGTCCCTTCCAGCTCTACTCTGATTCTGATTCTGGATATGTTTCCCACCTTGAGCTTTTTGTAAAAAATAAGAAAGGCAGGATAGAAAGAAACGGATAAAAGGCTCTGAGGCGAAGCTGAGAAGTTAGATGACTACATGCAGAAAGGAGGAGAGCTGAATTTCTGAATCACGTGACTCAGCAAAGCTTATCCTTCTTAGGTCTTTAGGATAAGGCCTGCTGGTGGAAGATTCCAGAAGGCCTTTCTTAGTCAGTGAGGAAGTCTGACCATCTATGGCAGAGCAACAAAAGTTCAGAGAGTTAACAAGGAAGCCACGAGGCTCTGAAAAGCAGCTTTTTGGCAGGAAGCAGTGAGTACGTTATTATAAACAAACAGGGTCAATTCTGGTTAAAAGAAGGTCTCGAGCCAAGTTGTAGAAGACAAGACAGTATACAGGAGGTAGTCCTTGACTTACAACGGTTTGTTTAGTGACCGTTGCAACGGCATTGGGAAAAAGTGAACGCTTTTCACAATTACCCCATAATTATGCGATCAAAATTCAGAGGTTTGGCAATTGGCTCATATTTGCTGTGTCCCAAGATCTAATAATCTTGATGCTGTGGCTCAGGGGCTAAGATGCTGAGCTTGATCGAAAGATCAGCAGTTCAGCGGTTCGAATCCCTAGTGCCGCGTAATGGGGTGAGCTCCCGTTCCTTCTCCCAGCTTCTGCCAACCTAGCAGTTCGAAACCACGTAAAAAATGCAAGTAGAAAAAATAAGGACCACCTTTGGTGAGAAGGTAACAGCGTTCCAGGCGCCTTTGGCATTGAGTCATGCCGGCCACATGACCATGGAGACGTCTTCGGACAGCGCTGGCTCTTTGGCTTTGAAATGGAGATGAGCACCGCCCCCTAGAGTCGGGAACGACTAGCACATATGTGCGAGGGGAACCGACCAGCAAAGTCAATGGGGAAATTTGATTCACTTAACAACCAGGTTATTAACTTGTCAATTGCAACGATTCACTTAAACAGCCGTGGCACGAAAGCTGGCCAAATGGGGCATAATTCACTTAACAAATGTCTCGCTTAACAACAGAAGTGTTGGGCTCCGTCGTGGTCGTACATCGAGGGCTGCCTGTACTACCTTGATATTGGAGTAGAGATAAAGTAAAGTTTTCTAAACTTTGATCCAGTCACCCACAAGGTAGCAGCCAAGCAACTTTTACGATGCGTGGACTTCAACTCCCAGAATTCCCCAGCCAGCATGCTGGGAATTGAAGTCCACACATCTTAAAATTTGCTTAGGTTGAGAAAAAAAATACTGCTCTAACCTTTTGCTGCCGTCTAATGATCGTCCGAATTTTGCAGCCCAGATCTGACAGGATTGGAGGTTGATGGAATTACTGGGATCTGTGGATCTGCTTGAAAGAAAATGGGGGGGGGGGGAAGAGAGGGGACAAATTTAGGATAGCTTCCCATTAGAGAGACAGCTGTTTTCTGCCTTTAAAAAAATCTGCTTTATGGGGAGAGAAGTACAGGAAAGGCAGTGGGGGAAACATCAGCAAAAAAACAACGTCATCTGGTGTGCCTCCAGCTGTTGTCACGTGTCAATTATGAACAAGATTTCATAATAAAGTCCACAGATGGAGACACTTGGAGGATGCCAAGGAGATGATTTTGCATGACTTAATCCTGAATTGCAGACAGTCCTTCTTTTTGCAAGCGAAATAAATTCGTCAGCCCGCCTGTAAAAAAAAAAGCAATTCCAATTGCTCATTTTTCTAAACTTAACTGCATTGTCATTTTAGACCGAGATTGAGGGTATTTGAGTGCACGCTGCTCTCCATTCATTGTTGTGCATATCTTTATAGGTTGTCTCGTGATATGATACGTGTTTACGTCTGCTCTCACCAACGTGTGCATTTTCCTGCACGTGTTTTCAGCTTGCAAGCTGTCCTATGGCATCTTGGGGGAAAAAAATGCAGTATTTTTTTCCCCTCTGTCTATCTGCATTAGGAAAGCAACTAGAATCAATTCATATAACAATCTGAAGAGGTGATTTTTACCCAATGTTTAGGGGTAATTAATAAAAACCAACTCCTTTGGAGTAGACTTCTTAATTTTCCTTTTTAAATTTTTTTTCCCTTCCTTGAAAGAGAGAAGAAAACACCAGAAACTCTAGAAAATTTCAAACGGCGACGCTCCAAGCTGATAAATTCATGTAAGTATTGCTTCTCTTGGTAAGTTTGTAGCTTCCCCAACTCCTCCCTTAAAAGAGGTTAAACCAGGGGTGAAATGCTCCCAGTTCGGACCGGATCGCCTGATCCGGTAGCGATGGCGGTGGGTGGTTCGGGGAACTGGTAGCAAAAATCCCTGAGGCCCCGCCCCCAACCCATGCCCAGCTAAGCTGCGCGATCATCAGAGGCTTCTTTTTTTACTTTTAAAAGCATTTTTTTCTACAACCTCTTCGGCCAAAAAAATGCTTTTAAAAGTAAAAAAAAGGCTCTGATGATCGCATGGCTCAGCTGGGATCGTCAGAGGCTTTTAAAAGCATTTTTTTACAACCTCTTTGGCTGAAGAGGTTGTAGAAATTTTTTTTTAAAGTAAAATAAAAAGTTGGCCACGCCCACCCAGTCACATTACCCCCCCAAGCCACGCCTACAGAACCGGTAGTAACAAATTTTACATTTCACCACTGGGTTAAACATGTTCCTTTACTTGGGCTCGATAACAGGTCGTCCTTGACGTACGACAGTTGGTTTAGTGACCGTTCAAAGTTACTACAGCACTGAAAAAACATGTGACTTATGACCCTTTTTCACACCTCCAACCATTGCAGCATCCCCATGATCATGTAATCAAAATTTTATGGCTAAGTGAGACATTCGTCAAGTGAGTTTTCCAACATTTCTTGCCATGAGTGAATCTCTGCAAGTTGTTAAATTAGCAACTTGGTCGTTAAGTGAATCTGGTCTTCCCCCTTGACTTTGCTTTTCAGGAGGTCAGAAAAGGGGGATCCCATGACCCCCCCCCCAGACACTGCACTGCAACCGTCATAAATATGAGTCAGTTGCCAAGCATCTGAATTTTGATCACAGTGGACTGTTGACTTACGACAACAGACGTAAGTGTGAAAAAAACGGTCAGAGGTCACTTATTCCAGTGCCTGTTGTCACTTCGAACGGTCGCTAAATGAACTGTTGTAAGTCAAGGACTGCCTGTAATTGCAACAGCCTTACGAGCTCCTATGCAATCCGTTGTTTCCTGCAGCCAAATTGCTCTATCAGGAATACAGTGACGATGCCCTGAATAAAGCCATCCAGAGCCAAAAACAGGCTTCGTTGGCCGAAGAGGTGGAACCGATATCTCCCAAGCTGCGGAGAAAGGTGCTGAGCTCCCAGGACTCTTACCTGCAACGCCTGTCCGTCTCTTCGGGCTCTTCGCTGTGGCAAGACATCCCCATGGTACGAGGGAGCACCATGCTACTTAGCATGACCCGTGAGGAGCAGAAGCTGCAAGAGGTAAAGGACAAAGGACCATCGTCAGATCTAGAGGACTATACGGGCGGGTGGGATGCGGCAGGGGTGAAATGCTCCTGGTTCGGCCTTGTTCGGAGAACCGATAGTGATGGCAGCTCGAGGGTCCACCCGCCCGCCCAGTCGTCATTATTTCCTGGTTTTAACTTCCTGGTTTTACTTCCAGGTTACTTCCTGGTTTTAACCAGGAAGTAACCTGATTTTTACCCTCTGCGCATGTGCACTTCCGAATCAGTAGGAAAGGTAAGTAGATTTCACCCCTGGGATGCGGCAATGAATAGCAGTAGTGCTTAGACTTACATACTGCTTCACAGTGCTTTTCAGCCCTCTTGAAGGAAGGAAGGAAGGAAGGAAGGAAGGAAGGAAGGAAGGAAGGAATAGTAATAGCACTTAGATTTATATACCACTTCCTAGTGCTTGGAGTGATTTACACAATCAGGCTATTGCCCCCCAACAATCTGGGTCCTCATTTTACCAATCTTGGAAGGCTGAGTCAACCTTGAGCCGGTCTGGATCAAACTCCTGGCAGTGGGCAGAGTTAGTCTGCAGTACCGCATTCTAAGCATTGCACCACCACGGCTTAGAATAGCAATAGCACTTAGACTTATATACCTGATCTGATTTGAATGAACCAGAGGGCTGCCCCATATCTCTTTTGGAGGTCAGAAATGAAATGTTGGTTTCTTCTCTGTCAGGAGGCAGCAAATTTGGACAGTTTTCCGATGTTTCGTTTGGAAAGAAACCTAATTGTGCATCCTGCGGATGCTCGTTTTCTCTTCTTCAAACAGGCCAAGTTTGAACTAATTGCATCCGAAGCCTCTTACCTGCGGAGCTTGAACATAGCAGTGGATCACTTTCAACGTTCCCAGGAACTTCAGGCGGTTTTAACCACGCAGGACAAACAGTGGCTTTTTTCCCGTCTTCAGGATGTCTGTGACGTTAGTGCCAAGTGAGTTTTGTTTCTCCCATTCTCAAAAGCCAACCAGTGATACACTGAATAGAGAGGTCAGGAACAGTGGTGGGACTCTACCGGTTCAGACCGGTTCGGGCGAACTGTTCTCTCTCTTCAGCCGTGAGCGAACCGGTTCTCTCTTTCTTTCAAGTGGGCCTGCCTGCTCCCCCCCCCATGTTATACTTACCTATATTTCTGCTTCCGAAGCCCAGCTGGTTGTGGGCGGCAGAGTGAATTGCCGCTCCTCAGCTGTTTTCCTTGCTCTCAGTTCAATTTTCTGCAAATTGCACATACGCGCACAGCGAACCGATTGTTAAACCGGTAGGATCCTACCCCTGGTCAGGAAGTTTACCAAAGAGAGATCCAATCTAGAATTAAGGAGAAATTTCCTCTTAATGGGGGACAATCCATAGAATGGCTCATCTCTGGAAATTGGGGTGCTCCATCACTGGAGGTTTTAAAGAAGAGATTGGACAGCCAATTGCCTAAAATGGCATAGGATCTCCTGCTTGAGCAAGGGATTGGATTAGAAGACCTCCAAGGACCCTTCCAACCCTATTATTCTATATTCTAAGTCAGGGGCAGGAGTGGGATTCTGCCGGTTCGGACCGGTTCAGGCATACCGGTAGTTCCGACGATCAGCTGAGAGCGAACCAGTTCACTCCGACGATCAACTGGGCCCGCCCACCTGCCCTTGCACTATACCTATCTTTATTTCTTTTGTTTGAAGCCCAGCTGATCGGCACGGTGGCGCGGATTGCTGCACTTCAACTGTTTTATTCACACGCAGCAAACTGGTTGTTACACTTAGCCTTAGGTTTAGCCTTAGCCTTAGCCTTATCCTTAGCCGTATCCGTAGCCGTAGCCGTAGCCGTAGCCGTAGCCTTAGCCTTAGACGTAGACATAGACGTAGCCTTAGACGTAGACGTAGACGTAGACGTAGACTTAGACTTAGACGATGTCAGGGCATTGATTAATCCCATGTTTGGCTCTGGGACAAATCACCCTGGTTTAATTAGAGGATGGATCGTATCTCCTCCTTGTTGCAATATTCTGAAAAGAAACGCGAAGAAAAGTTTCTAATAAAACTCATTTATTTGTTATAAAGAAAATAAAACACCTCACTAACTAAGAAAAGTAATTGCTACATTTTGAAAGTAATTCTTGCCGGCTATTTCTCAGCCAGACCTTTCTGGAAAGAGAACAAAGGAAAGAGTGTGTGAAGGAATGTGAAAGAATGCAGACATGCGTAGTAAAATACTGATAACAATTCTTGGCAAGGTACGGAAAGTCTGATAGTCCAGAAATGATGAGCTCAGCTGGTAAATAAAATAACGCAGTGACAGACTTAGACTTAGACTTAGACTTAGACTAGAATTCTTTATTGGCCAAGTGTGATGGGACACACAAGGAATTTGTCTTCGGTACATAAGCTCTCATTTTACACACAAGCAGCAAGGTGATAGGACATAGATCATAAATCACAATCATTACCCATAAGATACAAACGACGAGTGATAAATCATAAGATACCGTACCAATAAGAGAAGATTGTAGGAAAGATGAGAAGACGAGAAGGATAATAGCAACACAGGCTACCACATGGGTAAATATCTTTAGGCCTAAAACCGTGCTGTGGGAATTACCGTGTTTCCCTGAAAATAAGACCCTGTCTTATATTTTTTGAACCCCAAAATAAGTGCTTGGCCTTATTTTCGGGGAGGTCTTATTATTTTGGGGCACGTGGAGGAAACCAGAGGAAATGGCAGGGACTGGCTATGTATGTGATTAAATATTTTTGGGGAGGGCTTATTTTCAGGGGAGGCTTATTTTAGTGCATGCACTCAAAAGCCCGATTGGGCTTATTATCAGGGGATGTCTTATTTTAGGGGAAACAGGGTAGGTGTTCAGCAGAGTGATGTCACGAGACCACCGTTGTGTCCCTCGTACTTAGGGGAACCAGTATCCTCATTCCCTGTCTGTTTCCTGCTTTCTGCTGAATCACAGCAGAATTAGTATGTGAGTTTCAGTCCACAATTTACTTCTGGGTGTAGTTTTAGAGCAGTGATAGCGAACCTTTTCAGCACTAAGTGCTGAAAGAGGGGCGTGTGTGCACTTCGTGTGCGTGCTCATCTGTGCCGCAACCTGGAAAAGGAGCTGCCCAGGGCGCATGCACGCACCCAAAAATGAACTTCCGGTTTCTGGCACATGCATACACGCCAGCCAATTACTCTTCTGGGTTTCTGGCACACATGCGCATGCGACAATCAGCTGGCCGGCGTGCATGCTCACGCAGGAAAATGGAAGTCCAGCTCTTCCAGTTCCCGGCACTGCCGCATGCAAAAAGACCAGCTGATTGTCGTGCGCGCATGCACGCCAGAAACCTGGAATAGGAACGGGCGATGCCACATGTGTCAGGCGACATGGCTCCGCGTGCCACTTCAGGCACGCGTGACATAGGTTTGCCATCACGGTTTTAGAGCCTGCTTTGTCTCTTAGCATGTTTAACTCCTACCATGGTTAGTAGTGAACCTCTCTTATTCAGAATGATTGGTTTTTCTCAAAATGCCACTTCGCTCACACCCAACCTACCCAAGTAAGCTTGAAAGAAGGATCACAGCTCCACAAAACAAACTAAATAATGATGTTCTACCTCTCTTCTTCCATGATAACCTGACGATGCCTGCAGTTTCCTCTTTGAACTGGAAGAGAAGCTTGAGGAGAACATGTTCACCTTCAACGTCTGTGACGTGGCGCTCAGAAACGCACCCGAATTTCGCAGGGTTTACTTGCCGTATGTGACCAACCAGACCTACCAGGACCAGACCTTTCAGAGACTCATGTAAGGACCTGAAGATGCCTTCCAGATTGTCCTTTTTGCTAGTGCTCTGCAAAAGCCTTTTAGGCAAATGTGAAGTCGATTTTCCTCCTCTGAAACTACAGCTTTGTAACTGATGCGCGTTTCATGTGTTAAGGCAGGGGTGTCAAACTCAAGGCCTGGGGGCCAGATCTCAAGGCCCCGGGGGGGGGGGCTTAGATCTGGCCCGCGAGATCACCGCCCCGCCCGTTTCCAGCCTGCTGATTCGCCACTGGCGGGGCGTTGTTCCAGGCTCCGCCTCACAGCTGGCGGGCGCAGGATGGATTTAAGCGCTACATGCCGTATGCATGGAGCGCCAATTTTACATCGTTACGACTGCAGCGTTTTCGGGACGGACAAGATTAAACCAGCATTACATTCCAATGTTGTTCTTGGTGGTTTGTCCTTGTTGCGCCTGAGGATTCTGAGACTGCCCTGAAAACAGCAAAGGACTGGCCCGCAGTGCCTCTGCCAGTGAAAATGGAGTTTGGGAAGGCCACGGACAGCCCTCCCAAGCTCCGTTTTCACTGGCAGAGGGTTGCAGGAGGCCGTCGCAGCTGAAAACGGAGCTCGGGAGCCCATTTTCGCTGACAGAGTCTCAGGCCTCCACAGGCGCCTCCGACATGAGTGACATCAAGCTGGCCACGCCCACCCTGCCCATGCCCACCCCTGCCCCCCAAGGTCAATTGCAACCCTGATGTGTCCCTCAATGAAATCGAGTTTGACACCCCTGTGTTAAGGCATAACAGAAAATTCCTAATGTCCTCGCTTCTCACCATACTTTGAAGCATGGTGTATCCAAGCTGGTTTAAACGTTGCTTGTCCAAACAATTCATTAGGCTAGAATCACAAATCGGTGAAAAGCCAAAAGTCAGTTTTTTGTATCTCGGTAATTGGGGAGATGTAGAAGATTTGTTCCTGGAATCATTTCACCAACTTGTTTCAATTTCACTTTTCGTCGTATGCAAGTTCCAATCTGGGTGCATCACTGGGATCAGAGGTTTAGTCTTCCAAGCTTTTGGGCTCGTACTGGAGCCCATCCTCAGGGAACTTCTCTCTACCCGAAAATGTGCTTTGGGATATTCTGTGCATCGTATTTATACGGCATTGCTATTGGTTGATTGGTGTGTTGATGGCCAGCGATTGGCTGTTGTTTCCTTGTGCTGCCCAGCCCTCAGTTCCTAAGTACCTGATAAGATGGTAGTAAATCAGCACTCCTGTTGACTGACAAGGGGCCCATTTCCCAGGCTTCAATCATTTCCCTGGCTGTTTTTGTACCTGCTTGACCAACAATCTTAGTAGCTGCGAAATTGAATGCATGTCCTTATTCATTGCAATGTGAGGCTACCAATGAGTTTGGGTCTCTTTGTCTGAGCGCCAGCTTGTGTTTTTGCAGTCCGGTGGTTAGCTTCCTCCCTGTCTGTCCTACATAGTCACTGGGGCAATCCATGCAAGGGATCTGGTAGATTACATTAGAAGCCTCTCCTATCTCCAAGCGATCTTTGCAATGCATGATTTCATTGCATGATTTCGTTTTATAATATAGATTAGTTCTGACTTAAGTGGGAAATTCATAAATGTGTTATATGTCATAAGTTTGCACTTACTTGTAACTTCCCACTCTGGATATATATGCAATTGTCCCTTAACACCTGCCTGGTGCTTTTATTTTGCCGTAAATCAGTGGTGGTATTCAGCCAGTTCTATCAGTTTGGGCGAACTGGTAGCGGCAGCTGCAGGAAGCTCTGCCCACCCACCCGGACGTCATCACGTCCCATTAACGCAAGATTTTGGCCCTCTGTGCATTGCGGAAGACCCTGTGCATGCGCGGAGGGGGCGTGTGTGCTCACATTTGCGATCCGATAGCGAAGGTAAGTGAATACCAACCCCTGCCGTAAATGGATCACTCAAGGGGGCAGGAACTACTGTGTCCAGAAGCAGATGTGTTGTGTCTTGTTGAGCGTTGGATGTCATGTTTTTCTTTTAGATCAGTGGTGGGTGGCTAGCGGTTTGCCCCAGATCGGGCGAACCTGTAGCAGTGGTAGCGGGAAGCTCCACCCACCTGCCCGGACATCTCTGCGCATGCATGAGTGAACTGGTAACGACGGGATTTGAATCCCACAACTGCTTTAGATCCCAGTCTCCCACTCCTACTTCAGAAAGCGTCATGTCTGTCTTTTTCTTTTCCTGCCTAGGAATGGGGTTCCTGCTTTCCAGCAGGTCTTAGAGAAACTGGAAAGTGACCCAGTGTGTCAGCGCCTCTCCCTCAAATCCTTCCTCATTCTCCCATTCCAGCGTATCACCCGACTGAAGCTCCTTCTCCAGGTAGGAAGAAAGACTCGCCTGGCCGCAGTTCAGCCAGGGACCTGAATGTAGCATCCAATACAGGTAGCATATCTGTCCAGTTTCTTGAGCCTCGAGGCTGCTGCGATGCTGGATGTGGTGAGGCCGGGCAAGGTGGGGCGCGGAAAGATCAGTCGTGCCAGGGTGGGGCCCTCCTCATTGAGGCTGATGTGAGGCAGATTGGGAGATGCCGGGTGTGGGATAGCGTGGTGAGGCTGGGGCTCTCCTCATCGAGGCCGCTGTGGGGTGGGGAGACGCTGGGCATGGCATGGCGAGGCTGGGGTCCTCATCGAGGCTGCTGCGAGGTGGGGCGGGGAGATGTCGGGTGTTGTAGGGCGAGGCAAACCTCCTCATCGAGGCTGCTTTGGGGTGTGGAGACGCTGGGCATGGTATGGCAAGGCTGGGGCCCTCCTCATCGAGGCTGCTGTGAGGCAGGGGAGGGAGACGCCGGGCATGGCACAGCATGGCAAGGCTCGGGCCCTCCTCATCGAGGCCGCTGTGGGGTGGGGAGACTCAGGGCATGGCATGGCGAGGCTGGGGCCCTTCTCATTGAGGCTGCTGTGAGGCGGGGCAGGGAGATGCCGAGCATGGCATAGCATGGCGAGGCTCGGGCCCTCCTCATCGAGGCCGCTGTGGGGTGGGGAGACGCTGGGCATGGCATGGCGAGGCTGGGCCCTCCTCATCGAGGCTGCTGCGAGGCAGATCAGGGAGATGCCGAGCATGGCATAGCATGGCGAGGCTCAGGCCCTCCTCATCGAGGCCGCTGTGGGGTGGGGAGACACTGGGCATGGCATGGCGAGGCTGGGGCCCTCCTCATCGAGGCTGCTGCGAGGCAGGGCGGGGAGACGCCAGGCATGGCATGGCGTGGCATTGCGAGGCTGGGTGGCATGAAGCAAGGCCGGGTGAGGCCAAGGAGCTGCATGTGGGCAGGGCCGAGGCGGTGGGGGCCGGCCCTTCAGCATTTCTAGGGTGGCCCCGCGGGGTAGATCTGAGCACATCGCAGGCCGGATCCAGCCCACGGGCCTTGAGTTTGACATGTCTGCATTAAGGTCATCCTCCTTATTGGCCTCATCACCTCCACCTATACTTCCAAAGCCCTTTGTAAAATCCAAAGCCCTACACATATGCAGTATTCTTCTACTTAAACCTCATTTACTATTGGTATACAGGTAATCCTCAACTTACAACGGTAATGGGCCCATGGTCGTAAAGTGAGCCAATACGTGACGGTCCTGATTTTATGACCTTTTTTTGTGGTGGTTGCTTATACAGTAGTCATTGTTCAGAAATGGGGCATTTTTTGCTGAAGCCAAGAAATAAATGATAAAAACATCGTAAATTGTGGACACTTGATAGTGGGATGCTGGAATGGGCCGTAAATGTGAGCCAGTTGCCAAGCAACCAAAATGTAAGTCACATGGCTGGGGGAGTGGCTATTGGAACTTCATAACTGGGTTGTAAGTATTTTAGAGGGGGCATTGTAACTTCAAAAGCTAAGCAGATGGTCGTAAATCGAGGAATTCCTGTACAAGTAGTCCTCGACTTACAACAGTTCGCTTAGTGACCATTCCAAGTTACAACAGCATTGAAAAAAGCAACTTATGGCCATTTTTCACACTGATGACCTGCAGCATCTCCATGGTCACGTGATTTTCATTCTTGACCACTTGACCACTGACTCACATTTACGACAGTTGCAGTCGTAAAAGGGCCGCAACCCCTTTTGCGGCCTTCTGACCAGCAAAATCAATGGGGGAAACCCTGATTCACTTAACAGCCAGGTTACTCATTTAACAACTGCAGTGATCCATTTGACAAATGCGGCGAGAAAAGCCGTGAAATGGGGCGAAACCCACTTAGCGAGTTTCTCACTTAGCAACGTCAATTTGGGGCTCAATTGTGGTCGTAAGTCGAGGACTACCTGTACACGGATTGAATAGGGTTGTTTGGCCTCAGCTCTTTTTTTTTTTTTTGCGACTGGTTTTGGCGGGCTGACAGAAACAAACTCATTGATTCCTTCTATAAAAGCCCCGGCGTAGTTCGTTTTCTCTCTTACTCCGATTCCCTTTCGGTCCCCTTGGAGAAAAACGGAAGAGATGTTTACCGGGTTCTCTAGCAAAGATCTCTAGATAGAAATGGTGGTGTTGCCCCATTTCCTGTTCTCAAGATGCTGGCAAGAAGTTGTGGCAGCCGTGAGTTCAAAACTGATGACTAGTTCCAAAAAAAAGAAAAACCGCTAAAAATGGGATTAGAAAATTTAAAAGCTTTTCATAGAGAACCATTCTGTCCTAGTGGTTGAGGCACCAGGCTAGAAAGTGGGAAAACGTGAGTTCTAGTTCCATTTTAGACATGAAAGCCAGCTGGGTGGGCCAGTCACCAGGAGACTGGGAGTTCTAGTCCCGCCTTAGGCATGAAAGCCAGCAGGGTGACTTTGGGCCAGTCACAAGGAGATTGTGAGTTCTAGTCTCGCCTTAGGGATGAAAGCCAGCTGGGTGACGTTGGGTCAGTCACAAGGAGATTGTGAGTTCTAGTCCTGCCTTAGGCATGAAAGCCAACTGGGTGACCTTGGGCCAGTTACCAGGAAACTGAGTTCTAGTCCTGCCTTAGGCATGAAAGCCAGCTGGGTGACTTTGGGCCAGTCACAAGGAGATTGTGAGTTCTAGTCCTGCCTTAGGCATGAAAGCCAGCTGGGTGACATTGGGCCAGTCACAAGGAGATCGTGAGTTCTAGTCTCGCCTTAGGCATGAAAGCCAGCTGGGTGATCTTGGTCCAGTCCCTCTCTCTCAGCCCAACTCACTTTACACAGTTGTTGTTTTGGGGAAAGTAGGAGGAGGAAGGTACAGTATGTTGGATATGTTCACCACCTTGGTTTATTTGTAGAAATAATAAAGGCGGGAAATCAATCAATCAACCAATCAATCCATCTTTCCTTCTGCAGAACATCCTGAAAAGAATTCCACCTGGGGCCGATGAAGAAGTCCAGGCCACCCAGGCATACGACGCTCTTGAGAAGGTAAATGCCTCTCAGAATCTGTTTTTCAGACGTCCATCATCTCTCCTCTCCTCTCCTCGCACAAAAAAAAATAAATCTCCTTTTGGTTTAGAAGCTGAAATATCCAAGGTTGTTAAGGAGTTTTACTTCCAGTTTTGGAACACAGAAGCATAATAGCCTGAGCAACCTCACTGTAGAGTAGGAATGGAAAGGAAAGCATTTAGTTTACTCCTGAATGCAAATATACTTAATTATCATTTGAATAAACCAACCAGAAGTGGATTTCATATACTGTACCAACCGGTTTGCCCAGCACCGGAAATATCTGCATGTGCCATCCACTCATGCGTGTGGCGTCACAAAATAGGTCAATTTGCTCGTGTGCACCATCTAAACATGCATGCAACATCAAACAACATGGCTATTTGCTCGCGTGCGGCATCAAAAACACAGCGATATAGGATGGGGTTGCGCCCAGGCGGGTGCGCAGACTCACCCGCAGGTTGTCACTACCGATTCGCCCGAACCGGCTGAATACCGCTTCTGAAACCAACACAGAATTTGGATATTTTTAAAGTTGGATAGCTCTGCAAATTTTTCGATTGTTATTTTTTTAAAAAAGAAGGAAATATAGTAGGAGAAATTTCTCTTTGTTTTATCTGCTTAGTGTAATCCTTAAAAAGTTATTGCCGAACAGAAAAAAAAAAAGAAAAAAGAAATTAGATATTGCTAATGGTATCTTTCTGCTTTGAAAGGCCAAACGATTGTGGGACTCAAAATCCAAGAGATTGAACAGTTTCCCGATTATTCAAATTCACCCTTCGAAAACCAAAATTAAAATCAGTTGACATATATAATAACATTTCTAAGTAGCACCTGGAACTGCTATTCTGTGATGTGCGTAATCCATGCTCACACGAACCTCCTAAAAATAATAATAATAATACAGAATTTTTCTCTACATGCTAAAGGAAAATGTAACCTCTTTTGAATCCAGTTCTTCCATAGTAAAAATTGGTCATTTTTCAAATAATTTTTCTCCCTTTGCTTTTTCTATTCTGATGACACTTTCCTCTCTGCAGCTCATCAAAGATTGCAATGCAAATGTCCAACGTATGAAGAGCACCGAAGAATTGATTCACTTAAGTCAAAATATGGAGTTCGAATGCAAGGTAAAAAATATATATATCCTGCAAAGAATCTCTTTTGGATTCACATGTCTTCTATATGTATATATATAATCTCCTCTGCACCTCCACCCAAAGGTTTTCAGAACTCAGAAACCCCTGCCCAAGATTCTCAGAACTAACATTCTTTTGTTTCAACTCATGGTGCAAACAGAATTTAGAATAGAATAGAGTAGGGTAGGGTAGGGTAGAGTAGAGTAGAGTAGAGTAGAGTAGAATAGAATAGAATAGAACAGAGAATAGAATAGAATAGAATAGAATAGAATAGAATAGAATAGAATAGAATAGAATAGAATAGAATAGAATAGAATAGAATAGAATAAACTTTATTGTCATTTTAAATGTATAGTAATCGGCATACAATAAAATGAAATTTTGTTGCATACAGCTCTCAAAGGTCATCAATTCTCAGGACTACAGTGATAGATAGGGGCTAGATCACTACCTCCAAATATATAAGTAGTCCTCGCCTTACAACATTTCGTTTAGTGACCTTTTGAAATTACAACAGCACTGAAAAAAGTGACTTATGACCATTTTTCACACTTAATGACGGTTGCAGCATCCCCATGATCACGGGATTTAATATTTGGATGCTTGACCACTGACTCAGATTAATGACGGTTGCAGTGCCCCGGGAGGTCATGTGACTCCCCCTTTTGCGACCAGCGAAGTCAACGGAGAAAAGCCAAATTCACTTAACAAGCGGGTTACTAACTTACCAGTGCTTCGCTTAACACCTGTGGCAAGGAAGGTCGTAAAATGGGGCAAAGCTCACTTAAACACACGTCTCCCTTTAACGGCAGAACATTTGGGCTCAGCTACGATCGTAAGTCGAGGACTACCGGTATAAAAAATCATGGTTCTCATCAGGGAACGGATGAATTGTTGAGGATGCCAGAAGTTCCTGGTGAAGTCAGCAAAAGTTGAACTGAAATTTGCAGGCGATTCCAGTAATTGTTTGCAAAGCTTTGGGATTTCTTAAGAGAGGCAGCTAAATCACTGGGTCTCGGAGGTTAACTTCCTCACTCAAGGAACTATTAATCACTCTAAATCCCTACCGACGGTTTCCTTCTGCAGAAGCCGTTAAGCCATGCTGAGCACAGATGTGGCCATCTCAAGTCATCCAAACAGTCTGTCTGGAATCGCTTTCAGTTTCCAAACAGTCATATTAGCCTAAGCTTCGTTAGAAAGCCCCTTTCCTAATTCTGCTAGTAAGTAACATGAGATCCGGAGCACGACTCGGCGAGCACGGAAAGGACGTAATATTTTAGGAAGTCTCCAGGTCATCATTTATTTTGAAAGGAGAATATTTGTAAGCTCAGGGTTGACACAAGGGAACCTTGGTGCTCTCTGAGTTTTCTTGTTTTCTTGTAGACGTTTCATTATCAAACTGGGTAATATCATCAGTGCTAGAAGAGAGGAGGGTTTGTGGAGAGGAGGAGGAGGAAGAAGAAGAGGAAGGGGAGGGAGAGGAAAAGAAGGTGGAAGGGGAGGAAGGGGAGGAAGAGGAAGGGGAGGAAGAGGAAAAGTGGGAGGAGGAGGAGGAGCAGGAGGAAGAGGAGGAAGGAGAGGAAGAGGAGGAGGTGGAAGAGGAGGAAGGAGAGGAAGAGGAGCAGAAGGAAGAAGAGAAGGTGGAAGAGGAGGAGGAGGAGAAGCAGGAGGAAGAGGAAGGGAAGGAGAGGAAAGGAAGAGGAGGAGGAAGGAGAAGAAGAGGAGCAGGAGAAGGAAAAAGAGGAGGTGGAAGAGGAGAAGAAAGAGGAGGAAAAGGAGAAAGTGGAAAAGGAAGAAGAGAGGGAGGAGGAGGTGAAAAAGGAGGACTAGGAGGAGAAGGAAGAGGAAAAGGAGGAGGAAGGGAATGGAAGGGGAAGGAGGAGGAGGAGGAGCAGAAGAAGGAAGAAGAGATGGTGGAAGAGGAGGAGGAGGACTGTGAAGGGTCCTTAGTGCACACTGAGCTGTCTTGTTTTCCTGTAGACGTTTCATTACCAAACTAGGTAACATTGTCAGTTGCTAGTAAGAAGTACTGTTTGCTGTCAGTTCACATTCTGGCGCCTTGCCTGTCTGTGTCACCTACAAATATAATCTGATATGAGATAATCAACCAACCCAAAAAGAGAAAAAGACTCCAGCACCTTTTCACCAGTAATTAGAGCCTTGATAGTACAGTGGTCTATGCACCCTGTTATTAACACAGCTGCCTGCAATTTACTGCTGGTTCGAATCTCTCCAAGGCTCAAGGTTGACTCAGCCTTCCATCCTTTCTAAGGTAGGTGAAATGAGGACCCAGTTTGTGGGGGCAATAAGCTGACTTTATATAAAATATACAAAAGTATGAAGGCTATTGCTTAACGCATTGTAAGCCGCCCTGAGTCTCCGGAGAAGGGCGGCATATAAATCAAATTAAAAAAAAAAAATTAGCACTCAGATCAGCATAGACTAACTCTAAGGTTCAGACTTCAGACCAACCATCAAGTCAACCATACCCCAATCAAGAAACTGCCAAAAAGCTGTCAGTAAACAGCCCAACCAAAGAATCTCTTAAGACCGCCAACCTCCACTCACACAGACAGGGCAAGTCACCAGAATATAAAATGACAGAAAACCCCACTCCCTAGCACTCCTCCTCCTCCCCCCTCCTCCCCTCCTCCTCCTCTTTCCACAAAACACTCCCTTCTAGCACTGATGATGGTTACCTACTTTGGTAATGAAACGTTTGCAAGAAAACAAGCAAGCTCCGAGCGTGCTTTCTTTATTATCGTTTATTAATCAAATTCATATGCTGCTCATGTCACAGCATGAGCCAAAGCCGTTATGGAGACATGAAATCTTAATTTCTCCCTGACAGCTTTCTTCTATACAGGTAGACCTCAACATTACAAACATTTGTTTAGTGACACCGAAAAAAAAAATGAGATGGGATAAGATAGCCTTTATTCAGGGGTGAAATCCAGAAGGTTCTGACGGGTTCTGGAGAACCGGTAGCGGAAATTTTGAGTAGTTCGGAGAACCGGCAAACGCCACCTCTGGCTGGCCCCGGAGTGGGGTGGGAATGGAGATTTTGCCATGCCTACTAAGCCACGCCCACCAAGCCACCAAGCCACGCCCACAGAACCAGTAGTAAAAAAATTTGGATTTCACCACTGCCATTGTCGTCATTTTTTTTTTCTGTGAGAACACCGGAACACATTAAAAAAAATGAAATTCTGATGCCCGCCGTCAAAGAAAATAAGCCAAAATGTTGAAAATTCACCCAAGCTAAGAAGCTCTATCCAGGACGGAATGCTAAAATCCAAGGATGGGCAACTGTGGCCCTTTTACAACCTGTGGACTTCAACTCCCAGAATTTCTGAGACAGCCAAGCTGTCTCAGGAATTCTGGGAGTTGAAGTCCACAGGTCATAAAGGCGCCATATTTGCCCACCCCTGCTATAACCAATTTTCCATTGCAATGATGACACAGCAGTTTCTCACTGGCCGGTTTGTTAGTAAGTGTAGCTTCACGAAAAAAGTGACTTATGACTATTTTTCACACTTAATGACCATTGCAGCAGCCGCGTGGTCACATGATGTAAATTCAGACCCTTGGCAACTGACTCATATTTATGACGGTTGCAGTGTCCCAAGGTCACATGATCCCCTTTTGCGACCTTCTCACGAGCAAAGTCAAAGGGGAAGCCAGATTCATTTAACAACCGTGTGACTAACTGAACAACTGCAGTGATTCACTTAACAACCGTGGCAAGAAAATGTGGTAAAATGAGGCAAAATTCACCACTGTCTTGCTTAGAAATGGGAGTTCTGGCCTCAACTGTGGTCAGAAGTCAAGGACTTCCTGTACTGAGTCATCATCCTTGTTCAAGGGAGCGACTGATGAAGATGTAGCAATAGAATATAGTTCTGAAAACTAAGGCTGTTCTGTCCCCGTCTCACACACGCACACAAACAGACAGCGGGGGTTAAATAAACTGGCAGACAACCAATTCTTCCGATAAGAAGCTTGGCAGCAACCCAGTAGCTGCTTGCCAAGAACTTTTACTCAATAAACAAAATACCCACAGTCAAGAATTGTCCAGTTCGTAAAATAAATCCAAGGCCGATAATGTTGTTTCCAAAGATGCAATGTGACTCGATAGTAGTTAGTTTTGTCCGTCACAGAGTCTGAATGGCCACCTCACCCCCTTTTATACCCTGTGGGGTGTGGTCCAGTGACTCAGCTTAATCTCTGGCAAGCCTTTTCTTCTGTTGCGCGCGCTTATCTCTGCGACGCTGCCGAGGATCCAGCCAAGATTCATTTCCCTCATCACTGTCCACGTGTGGCTGCGTGGACGTGCTTGGCCCTGGCCCTATCTCTTGCCCTTCGGCGGACACCGAAGGCATTGCCAGAGAGGAGGGTCCTGGAGAGGGAGGCCTTGCCAACTCCTCTCCTTCACTCTCAGAGTCCTCTCCTGCCGATGACACAGGCTCAGGTAACGGAGCCACAACAAAGGCTTTGAAAAAAGAAAGCATTTAAGTTTGAACATGTAGGTAGATAGAACGAGTTATACATGCATAAAGGTTATACACACATATTAAAACATTAAAGCCGGTAGGTGAGTTTGGGCACTTTCCTTAACAATGTTTGCTAATGGTGGAGATGTTCTAAGACCTGGAAATGGCTGTAGGAACATTATAGAATAATCGAGTTGGAAGGGACCTCGGAGGTCTTCTAGTCCAACCCTCTGCTCGAGCAGGAGACCCTATACCAGGTATCGGCAACCTTAAACACTCAAAGAGCCACAAGGGTCCTAACCAGAAGCCCCACATTCAATTCTGGAGCTGACCGGAAGTCTAGTTCCCCCACCAAAGAGTCTCCTCCTAGTGTGGCATCCTTTTTTCCTTTGCTGACCGGAAGTCCAGTTTCCCCACCATAGAGTCTCCTCCTAGCGCGGCATCCTTTTTCCTCTGCCTGCCCTAACCGAAAGCCCTATCAATTGTGGAGCCGACCGGCGACAGGGAGCCGAGGAGCAGAGGGATGAAAGAGCCACATGCGGCTCCAGAGCCGCAGGTTGCTGACTCCTGCCCTATACCATTTCAGACACGTGGTCATCCAGTCTCTTCTTAAAAACCTCCAGTGATGAAGCACCCACAACTTCTTAAGGCAAGCCCTTCCGTTGGTTGATTGTTCTCAGTGTTAGGAAGTTTCTCCTTCATTCCAGGTTGCTTCTCTCCTTGGTTAAGTTTCCATCCATTGTCCGTAGGAAAGGGATATAACAGCTTGTGGCCTTTTGAAAAGATCGCACAATTTTGTTATGTGGCAACGAGGCTGGGAAGGGCAGGTTCGAAGTTCAAAGTTAGTCAGAACTCAGCGGAATCGAGCAGTAAAACCAGAAGAGATAAAACTCCAGAACAAAAGGTTGCTGAGTCAGTGTGGACTGAATATAAAAACAAAGCGGCAGTACGAAGGAAACGCATAGAGATGACTTGGTCATAGGGAAAGAAAAATGATTTGAGATGAAAGGGAAGACAGAAAGTTTTGGCTTTGTTGAGGTCCTTGAAAGGAAAGAGGTGAGATCAGAAGTGAAATCCAGCAGGTTCTGACAGGTTCTGGAGAACCGGTAGCGGAAATTTTTAGTAGTTCCGAGAAGCGGTAAATACCACTTCTGGTTGGCCCCAGAGTGGGATGGGAATGGAGATTTTGCAATATCCTTCCCCCAGGAATGGGGATTTTGCAGTATCCTCCTGCTGGAGTGGGGAGGGAATGGGGATTTTGCAGTATCCTTCTGTTGGAGTGGGGTGGTAATGGAGATTTTGCAGTATCCTTCCCCTGCCACACCCACCAAGCCACACCCACAGAACCGGTACTAAAAAAAAAATTGAATTTCACCACTGGGTGAGATCCAAGGTGTGAATGCAAAGACAGGAAGTTATCGAAAAATATTGCACCTGTTCTTGGAATAAACTAGATTTTTTTGGCTAGATGTCTCAAGTCAGAACTGAAGAAGCTTCTTGAATGAGAAGCGAAATGTTTTCAAGAAAAAGACAAAAAATAGGAAGTCCAGTTGTCTTTTGGAAAGCACCTTTGGCGTAAATTTGGCCGATTCTCATTTCGGTTCCGCTGCTTTTAATCCCACGTCTCATTTCTTTCTCGTGTTTTATGCAATAATTATGGTTCCAGAAGAAAATAGCATGGGGGATATATATATATATATATATATATATATATATAATATATATATATATATATATTTATTTATTTATTTATTTATTCATTCATTCATTCATTCATTCATTCATTCATTCCGCCACCTTTATTATTTTTACAAATAATGCTTACAAGGCACCGAACCTATCCAACACACACTTTCCTTCTCCTATTTTCCCCGCAACAACAATCTTGTGAGGTGGGCTAGGCGGAGTGAGCGACTGGCTCAAAGTCACCCAATTGGCTTTCATGGCTGAGTTGGGACTTGAACTCACAGTCTCCTGCTTCCTAGCCTGGTGCCTTAACCGCTAGACCAAATTGGCTCTTATATGAACTTATGCATAATATACATACAATATATAACACTGGACAATGAATGTCCTACTACTTGCTGGAGGAGAAGCATAGCTGGGAGTTATTATAAGACAGTAATTTAAGTATGACTAAAAGGAGACCATGGTAAACTTTCTACAAGTTTTTTTTTTTTTTAATTTGATTTATATGCCGCCCTTCTCCGGAGACTCAGGGCGGCTTACAATGCGCTAAGCAATAGCCTTCATTCTTTTGTATATTTATACAAAGTCAGCTTATTGCCCCCACAAACTGGGTCCTCAATTTACCTACCTTAGAAAGGATGGAAGGCTGAGTCAACCTTGAGCCTTGGCGAGATTCGAACCTGCAGTAATTGCAGGCAGCTGTTCTTAATAACCAGCTTAATAACAGGGTGCCTTAGACCACTGTACTACCAAGGCTCTTTTGAATATAATAATAGTTTGTTAACCAATAGTTTTGAAATTTTAATCTTCTTAGGGTTTTTTTTTTTTCATTCTACTTGCTAACTATTTTGTCATTAATATAGTTGATAGATGTCAGGTTAATAATTTGGAAAAAGAATTATAAGTCTTTTTTTAAAAAAATGGGCCTGTTTTGCATGGGGTGGGAAACTAATATTGTTGCAATATATTTATCAGTATTCAACTGGGGGGGGATAATATGTGTATATATGTTTATGTCCTTTTTTTAATGCATCTTTTTAATGTCTTGTTCGTTTTGTTTTTTGTGGTTGATTGTTTTTGTAAAAAAAAAACTTTTTTTTTTGAATTTTGTATTTTAACTTTTTTTTTAAATGAAAAGAAACATTACTACAGGTAGTCCTCAATAGTTCGGTTATTGATTGTTCAGTGTTACAATGGCACTGAAAAAAAGTGACTTATCGCCATTTTTCAAACTTTTACCACCGTTGCAGCATCCCCTTGGTCACATGATCAAAATTTGGACTCTTGGCAATGGATTCATATTTAACGACGGTTGCAGTGTCCTGGGGGGGTCATGTGAATCCCCCTTTTGTGACTTTCCAACAAGCAAAGTCAATGGGGAAGCCGGATTCACTTAACAACCGTGTGACTAATTTAAGAACTGCAGAGATTCACTTAACAACCGTGGCAAGAAAAGTCGTAAAATGACGCCAAAACTCACTTAACAAATGTGTTACCTAGCAACATAAATTTGGGGCTCGACTATGGTCGTGAGTTGAGGACTTCCTGTGCTTGTGCAGATGGTTTTTCTTGCCCTAAGTATAAGACCTTACTTTTCTCACTGTTGAATTTCATTTTGTTGGATAGGCCAAACTCACTTAACAAATGTCTCATTTAGCAACCGAAAATTTGGGTCAATTGTGGTCATAAGTTAAGGACTATCTCTCTGTGTGAATGTGTGTATCTAAAAAAACATGGCTAAAAGGAGAGCCCTTCCCTTTGCAGATCTTCCCACTTATCTCACAGTCCCGGCGGCTAGTGAAACATGGAGAACTTACAGCTCTGGAATATAATATCAGCTTGAAGTGGAAGCTTACCACCAGACCCATCTACCTCCATCTCTTCAATGATTACCTGCTTCTATCGCGACCCAGGGAGTAAGTTTTGGGGGGTGGGTCTTTGCAGAATCCAAGGCTGTTTTGAACCTATCAGAGAAGAAAGGATTCATGACTCCCTGAAGCTTCAGAAGTTCTTCTCCTCATGAAGATAGATGACTACAGAGACGTCTCTGCAGGGGTGGGCTGTTGGGGGTTCGCAGGGGTTTGGGAGAACCTCTAGCTAAAATTCTGTGCAGTTCGGAGAAGCCCCAAATCCCACTCCTGCCTGGCCCCGCCCACCCCTCCCCTCCCCCAAGAGTCCCCACGTGGCCTGTTTTGAATGCACATAGGTGCAGGGCAGGTGCGGAGGCTTAGGGAGGGCAAAAAACGCCCCTACCAGAAGTTCAGGAAAGCCGGAAATGGGCCTGTTTCTGGCCTCCAGAGGGCCTCTGGAGCCTGGGGAGGCCGTTTTCGCCCTCCCAGAGGCTCGAGGAAAGCCTCCCTTTTGCCCAGGGAGGGCAAAAATGCCCCACCACCCCCATGGTGGTGCAGGAGCCAATTAAGACACGCCCAACCAACAACCGGTTAGAGAACCCCCTGCTTAAAATTTTTGAAGCCCACCCCTGTGTATCTGTGGTCTCTTGAAAGAAGAACGTGACTAGTCTTTTCACCTGCCCAAATGAGGACATGCAAGATCTGTGGCTCATTGCTTTTTTTTCTTATTCGTCTGACCTAGGAAGAGAGATCCCAACTGAAAACATGGATGGGATGGGACAGAATGATAATCAGAGTTGGGAAGGACCTTGGAGGTCTTCTAGTCCAACCCCCTGCTCAAGCAGGAGACCCTATACCCGTGACGGCGAACCTATGGCATGCGTGCCACCTGTGGCACGCGGATCCATATCTGGGCATGCGAGCATTGCCCTAGCTCAGCACCAGTGCACATGCGCGCGCTGGCCAGCTGATTTTCAGGCCTTCCGGTCCTACCGGAAGTTGGGAAATGGGTCGTTTCCGGTCTCCAGAGGGCCTCCGTGGAGGTGGGGAAGGCTGTTTTTGCCCTCTCCAGGCTCCAAGAAAGCCTCTGGAGCCTGGGGAGAGCGAAAAATGAGCCTACCGGGCCCACTGTGCCATTGTGTGCCAAAAGCGGGTGTTGTGCATCCCCGTTTTTGGCACGCGACTGCAAAAAGATTAGCCATCGTTGCCCTATACCAGGGACGGGGGGGTCACCCACGCACATGCCCACACCCATAATTTTATGCGACCCACCCACGCCCTGCTCACAGCACGTAATGGCCCGGTAGGCCCATTTTTCTTTCTCACCTGGCTCCAGGACCTCTCTAGGCATCTGGGGAGGGCGAAAACAGCCTTCCCCAACCCTCCGGAGGCACTCCAGAGGCCAAAAATGGCCAGTTTGACAATTTCCAGTCCCATCGGGAGCTGAGCTTGGTGCCCACTGATATGGTTACGTGTGCCACCTGTGGCACGCGTGCCATAGGTTCGCCATCACAGCCCTATACTGTTTCAGACAAATAGTTGTCCAGTCTCTTCTAAAAAGCCTCCAGTGATGGAGCATCCATAACTTCTGAAAGCAAGCTCTTTTCAACTGGTTTATTGTTCTCACTGTTAGGAAACTTCTCCTTATTTTCACAACCTGGAACTAAGGAGAAATTTCCTAACAATTATAACAATTAAGCAATCGAACAGCTTGCCTTCAGAAATCGTGGGCGCTCCATCACTGGAGGCTTTTAAGAAGAGACTGGACAGCCACTTATCTGCAATGATACAGATTTCCTGCTTGAGTAGGGGGTTGGACTAGAAGACCTCCAAGGTCCCTTCCAGCTCTGTTATTCTGTTGTTAGTCTGTTAAGAAGAAACTAGTACACTTCTTTCTGTATTCTCCTGTAAGAAGAAGAATAGGAATTAAACAATCCTGACCCAAAGCAGTGAATATTGACCCGTTTCTTGTTCCTTTTTTCTGTCTCTCTCTCCCTCCCCCCCCCGGCAGGAACGGCCGTTTCATTGTGTTCGATTATGCGGCCTCCTCGGATGTGCGTGGGGAAAAGTGTGAAATGAAACTCCACGGCGACAACAAAAACCTTTTCCGCCTTTTCCTGCTGCAGAACAATCAGGGGAAGAAAGTGGAATTCCTCTTCCGCACAGAAACACAGTAAGACTGGCAGGGACAAACTCGACAACTCAGCTCAGTTTGACAGGCGGTGCAACGGAGAAGCCGGTTTACGCAACTTCCAACTCGGAACAATGCCAAAGACTTACCGTATTTCTCAGAGTATAAGACGCACTTCCCTCCTCCCTAAAAGTGGGTGAAAATTTCGGTGCATCTTATAGACCGAATACAGGCCTGTTTTTGGACTCCCGAACCCTCTGCGTGTCGCGTTTTTGCCCTCCCTGACCCCCAGAAGCACTCTGCAGGCCAAAAATGGCACGTTTTTGGCAAAAACGGGACATGTGGAGCACTGCAGAGTGCTTCTGGGGGCCGGTGAGGACAAAAACACGACACACGGAGGCCAAATTTTTTTTTTTGTTTTCCTCCTGTAAATCTAGGTGCGTCTTATAGTCCAAAAAATACGGTATCTTTCTTTAAATAATAGCCGCCCCTCTTTTTGTGAGTCCAAGTTGATACGCCTACATCAAGTTGATACGCCTACAGCATAGCTGGCTGGAGAATTCTGGGAGTTGAAGTCCACAAGTCGTAAAGCTGCCAAGTTTGAAGAGCTCTGGTTTATAGCGTAGCATGACCTGTGAATGCATCCCAACGCGGCTGATATAACAAGTCATGTTTTCGTGCGGCAAAAGGAGCCACAGCCTAGTACGTTTCAAGTGAAGGAAGAGGGCATGTGAGGCCTTGCCATCTGATCGCATTCTTTGCTTTTCCTAGGAGTGAGAAACTGCGATGGATTTCTGCTCTCTTGCCCCAACAGCCAGAACCTGACCTGTTGAATGATTCTGGTAAGAAAGCGCAGGACACAAATGCACACGGTCACTCACGCCCTTGTCACCTCCCGGCTGGACTATTGCAATGCTCTCTACATGGGGCTCCCCTTGAAGAGCACTCAGAGGCTCCAACTGGTCCAGAATGCGGCCGCGCAGGTGGTTATGGGCGCAACCCGTTGTGCCCATGTGACACCCCTCCTGCGCAAGCTGCACTGGCTCCCAGTGGTCTTCCGGGTGCGATTCAAGGTGTTGGTTACCACCTTTAAAGCGCTCCATGGCATAGGACCCGGGTACCTTCGAAACCGACTTCTGCCACCAATAGCCTCCCACCGGCCAGTTCGCTCCCACAAAGAGGGTCTCCTCAGGGTGCCATCGGCCAAGTTATGCCGGCTGGCGACACCCAGGAGTAGGGCCTTTTCTGTGGGAGCCCCAGCTCTGTGGAATGAACTGCCCCCCGGAAGTGCGTAAGATCTCCGACCTCCGGGCATTTCGCTGTGCACTCAAGACCCTGTTGTTCCGCCAGGCCGGGCTATCGACATAATAATTTTAAATTGGGTGTTTTAAATTTCTGGGCTTTTAAATTGAGCCGAATTATTTAATAATTTTAAATTATTTTAATTGATGTTTGTCTTGTGCTTTTAATAGGCTGTACACCGCCCTGAGTCCTTCGGGAGAAGGGCGGTATAGAAATAAAATTATTCTTATTCTAAATAAAACCAATAAAGGAGAATATTTGTAGCTCAGGGTTGATATGACGGGTCCTTGATGCCCTCTGAGATTTGACCCCCGAGTTGTCATCCTCCTCCTCCTCTCTGCAAACCCTACTCCCTTCAACCACTGATGATGTTACCTCCTGGGGTTTATGACAACTTGCCATAGCCAGTGGTGGGATTCAGCCGGTTCGGGAAAACCGGTTGTTAACTTTCTGAGCAGTTTGGCACACTGGTTGTTGGAAGAAATCATTAGGGCAGAGAACCGGTTGTTAAATTACTTGAATCCCACCACTGGCCATAGCCAACTCACCACGGCCAACTTATCATGGTCAACTCACCGCAGGACAAGAGTTACATTCATATCAAAGAAATAGTGGACAAGAATCCTGAAAGGAAAGGATGCAACAGGAGGGATGCAATGAAATGTGAATGGCAAAAATTAAAATATTTTTGAAAAATTTATTTTACAATTAAATAGTAATTACAATTAATAAATAAATATTAAATAAGTAATTATAATTAAATTGTCCTGCAGCGAGTTGTCTCAGGTTGAGTTGGCCACAGCGAATTGGCTGCAGTGTGTTAGCTGTGGCAACTTGTCCCATTCTGTTCCTATGGACAGCACAGTTCTTGAAAACAAATGTCAAGTTTCTGAAAGATGCCCTAATTAATTCATGAGCCATGATCCAAACTTCAAAAGAAATATAGTGATTTATTAGGAGCAACATTCCAGCAATACTCGGATGCAGTCAGGACTGATCCCACGTAGATTTATGTTCCCCTATGACCCTGTCTCTCCCCTCCCCTCGGCCATGTCATAAATCACATTCTCCAATTAACCACTTTGACTGGCTGTGAAATCCAACACCCTCCTTCTGATTGCGGTCAGGAAGAATGTATGGAATGCACTTCAGTTCTCCCTCCCTCCTGCTCATGGCAACTTGAAAGCTTTGCAAATTGACAACAAACTTTCCTTAAAACAAAAGCACAGAGATACCTCATTTTAGGTATTAAGCAGGTGAAAAACAGAGTCCAGAAAACTGTGGCCCGTCACTGTTGCATCGCAGGGTATGAAATAGGGCTAAATCTTTTATTTATTAATACATATTTTATTCTGCATCAATCATTTTGACTCTAAGTGTCTTTATTATGTGACGAGGTGCTTGCGTTAAACCAAAAAGCCATTTTGAATTAGCGTAATTTTCCCCAAAATAACCATCCCTGTATCCCATCACATTTCCAGATGCCGATCAGGTGCAGTGCGTGAAATCCTACAAGGCGCGAGAGCACGATGAATTGACTCTGGAGAAAGCTGACATTGTCATGGTCTTGCGGCAAAGCACTGATGGTGAGTCGAGGTGGAGTGGGGTGGGAATGGGAGATTTTGCAGTATCCTTCGCCTACCACGCCCACCAAGCCACGCCCACAGAACTGCTAGTAAAAAAAATTGGATTTCACCACTGATTAGGAGTATTGACCAGGTCAAGGGAGTCATCCTAATGTAGGTAAATGCAGGTCCAGCTGGATGATCACTGAAGGGCCCTCTTTATTCATAGTATTGTAAGAAAGGAAATGTGCTTGTTTAAGGGAAGCCAATTAACCAGATGAAAGGCAGAGAATTCCTTTGAAGTAGGAACATTCAGAAGAGAGGCCCCTCAGTTGTCAGAGATAGAAACATTTGGTGATATACAGTTTGAAGGTTAAAACAGATCAAAAGATGACCACATGTAATATCCACAAAAGATAATTTGAATCTATGCTTCAGTAATTTACAAGAAGAATTATGACTGTTGGCAAAGAAAAGGTAAAACTTAATAATTAGGAAATGTCAATTAAATATAACAAATGTATATGACCACATAAACTGCTGAGTTAACAGAATCCTTTGTCTTAGAAGGGTATAAAACCATTGTAACTAATTTCTGTCTTTGTTCAACGCTTCATGTACGAACGAGCTTTGAATCTATTGTGCAATATACTGTCTCTGACTAACCTGGAAAGTTGTGTTGGTCTAATTAATCCACAACAATCCTTTACATCAGGGGAACGCGCGGCATGAAGGCTTCTTAATTTTTAGGATGACAAAGATAAAAGTTGCAACGCAGCTAAATTGTTGGCGCGTTCTCCACACAATTTGCTTTATGATCTCTCTGCAGGCTGGGTTAGAGGCGTGAAGCTGTCCGACGGAGAAAGTGGTTGGTTTCCTTCCGATCACGTGGAGTTCATCTCCAGCAGGCAAGTCCGACAGATGAACCTGAAGGAAGAGCAGCGGGTGAAAAATGCCAAGCGGCAGGTCTTTCGCAAGCGGTAAAAGATCCCCTCTCCAGAAGACCTCCACCCTTGCCTCTCCAACCCAGGAGGACGTCGCGAGGTGTTAAAACTGCCCTGTGAATTACGAGACTGGAGGGGCGAAAGCAGAAACTGGTGTCACTGGCATTGGCTGTACCAGTCTGTCCGTCTTCACCTGTGTTTGGAAAAAGCAGGAGGAAAGAGCCACATGGTTTTTCATGAGAGGATCGTGGAGAAGAGGAAAATGGACAAGGACCTTCCGAGAACCTGAGCTTTGCTCAGCCACGTTTAAATGCACAAACCGCTGGCCCAGGGAGTTAGCTTCCGCTCTTGCAAAAAAAAAATTAAAAAGGCTTTAGCCCACCTCACAGAAAGACGTGAGGCTAAAATGTTAATATTTTTGAACGTGCTTCGGACTGTCTAGCAAAATGCAGTAGAGGGGAAAAAAAAATACACTTTGTGGTATTAGGATGAAGTGGCCTTTCCTTTTTTCTTTTTTTTTTCTATTTTAGCTCGTGCAAATAATGTTCCCGCCAAGAAAGAGAGATGTTGGCAACATCAAAACCAGGGGTGCTATTCAGCAGATTCTGACAAGAAATTTTGAGTAGTTTGGAGAACCGACAAATGCCACCACTGGCTGGCCCCAGAGTGGGGTGGGAATGGGGATTTGGCAATATCCTTCACCCAGGAGAGGGGAGGAAATGGGGATTTGGCAGTATCCTTTCCCTGGAGTGGGGTGGGAATGGAGATTTTGCAATATCCTTCCCCCAGGAGTGGGGAGGGAATGGGATTTGGCAGTACCCTTCTCCTGGAGTGGGGAGGGAATGGAGATTTTGCAATATCCTTTCCCTGGAGTGGGGTGGGAATGGAGATTTTGCCATATCCTTTCCCTGGAGTGGGGTGGGAATGGAGATGTTGCAATATCCTTCCCCCAGGAGTGGGGAGGGAATGGGGATTTGGCAGTACCCTTCTCCTGGAGTGGGGAGGGAATGGAGATTTTGCAATATCCTTTCCCTGGAGTGGGGTGGGAATGGAGATTTTGCCATATCCTTTCCCTGGAGTGGGGTGGGAATGGAGATGTTGCAATATCCTTCCCCCAGGAGTGGGGAGGAATGGGGATTTGGCAGTACCCTTCTCCTGGAGTGGGGAGGAATGGAGATTTTGCAATACCCTTTCCCTGGAGTGGGGAGGGAATGGAGATTTTGCCATATCCTTTCCCTGGAGTGGGGTGGGAATGGAGATTTTGCAATATCCTTCCCCCAGGAGAGGGGAGGGAATGGGGATTTGGCAGTACCCTTCTCCTGGAGTGGGGAGGGAATGGAGATTTTGCAATATCCTTCCCCCAGGAGTGGGGAGGGAATGGGGATTTGGCAGTATCCTTCCCCTGGAGTGGGGAGGGAATGGAGATTTTGCAATATCCTTCCCCCAGGAGTGGGGAGGGAATGTGGATTTGGCAGTACCCTTCCCCTGGAGTGGGGAGGGAATGGAGATTTTGCCATATCCTTCCCCTGGAGTGGGGTGGGAATGGAGATTTTGCAATATCCTTCCCCCAGGAGTCGGGAGGGAATGGGGACTTTGCAGTATCCTTCCCCTTCCACGCCCACCAAGCCACACTACACCATGCCCACCAAGTCACGCCCACAGAACCAGTAGTAAAAAAATTTGAATTCCACCATTGATCAAGCCCCTCTTGTTACAGCAACTGCTGGCGGGAAAAATTTAGGTCCAGGTTTCTAGCATCATTGGCATTCTGATGTGGCTCTGATCCCTTTTGCAGTCACCCGACATGTGTCTGCAGGGCACACGCGTGTACACAAACACATGCATTTCTCAAGGGAAACACTTGATTTTGTTCACTAGGAAAGCTTTACCTTAATTTCTGCATATTGGGTGGTATTAAAGGAACAGGATTAAGACTAGAAATTAAATGATGAACTTTTGCAGGAATTGGGTAAGTCTAGTCTAGTGAAAAGAAGGACCAGGGTGACATGATAGCAGTGTTCCAATATTTGAAGGGATGCCACAAAGAAAAGGGGGAGGGAGATAAAACTATTTTCCAAAGGACCAGAAGGCAGGTCAAGAAACAATGGATGTCAACTAATGAAGGAGAGAAGCAACCTAGAACTAAGGAGAAATTTTCTAACAATGAGGGAACAGCTTGGCTTCAGAAGTTTTTTTTTTTTTTTTTTAAAAAACCAAGTTTTATTAAATTTGTCTTTTATATTCATATTTTATGAACAGATTATTGACCGGGTCATGTCTTGTAACATAATTATGTTAATTTTTATAATCTATTCCAGTCTTCTTTTTTGTTTTTTCCAAATGCAATTTACATATTTCAATTTCTGCCATCATATTCTTTTTCCCTATTTTTTTTAATCTTATCTTAATCTCTTCTTAATACATAGTATATAAACAAACTCACCATCCGCACTTCAAATCCTAATTTCTAAGCATTACTTTAATTATCTTATTTCACCATTTATAAAATATGTTTCTCAAAATCCCCATCACACTTTTTGGCTATAAACGATGTACTTCATCTTATTCAATTCTTACATTGAACCCCTTTAACTTAATTGACCTTCTACATCTCTACTTAGTACATAATAAGCAATATCACTACCAGCCATTAATTCCTAATTTCTTATTATAGCATCAATTAATTATTTTATTTCATCATTTACAGCATATTTTTTCAAAATCCCCATCTCGCTTTTTAACATTTCAATTTTCTCTTGATTTCAGTTATTTTCATAATTGAACCAAATATTTCAGATTTCATCTGCTGTTCCATTTTACAAAAAACAATATATATCATCATATTCACTTCTTACATTCACAATTAATAATATTAATATAGTTCCCTTAGATCTACTAATATATACCTTATTTCCCTTCCTCCTTTCCACTATCCTTCCCCTTTTAACCATGTTCTCTTGGTCTCTCCAAAATTCTGCTTCTTAATAATATTCTCCCTTCATCCCATTCTCTTATCTTCTTTTTTCTTTTTATATTTATTGTATCTTTTCTCCTGACACCTTTCTCTAACTTTTGAGTCCATTACTCGCATAATTCTCCCCAAGCTTTTACCTAATATTTTTCCATTTCCTTCTCTTCCCTTCGATTGATTCTTTTTGGGGGAATATTCCCCCCTATCCATTCTTTTTTTGTCACTGTAAATCCCAGTGTAATCATCTAACATTTTACCTTCAATTCCTTTTCCTTCAATATTATTTTGCTTCTCATTTATATTCTCTTTTTCCTGTTTTGTGTGTTCTAACAAAGTTTCTGACTTTTTATTGCCCTTTAATGATTCATGCATGTTTTTAAGCATCTCAATTAATTCCTCACCCATCCAAAACTCCATATGGTCAATTTAATTTTTTTTTGATATTTTAACTTAGATTTAATTAAGATTTAAGTCCATATAGTCTCTTCTTTATTTCCAGATAATATCCAGTTCAAATGTTTATCCAAACCACTCCAATTTAAAGCTTTGTTGTTTTTCACCTCCTTTAAAAGTTGAGACCGAGCAGTTTAAAAAGAAACAAATACTCCTTAAAGTTTCTCACAATTCTCTTAGTGATCAAGGTCACTGCTGTTATTTCCTTCAATTTTCAGGCCAATTGTTGTAGTGCTTTCTTTCCACTAGCAGATGTCTCTCTCCAATCCACCATTCTCAAAGTATCAAGCTTACAAAAGTATTTTAAATCCACATAGAAACTACTTTCTCTCAGCTTTCTTTTCCTTTTATTGTTTTTAATTTCTCCAAGTTCAGTTTTAAATCTAGTTGTAAAATTTCCTTTCTTGGGCTTTAATATTTTGACCTCCTCTTTGTTCTTCCTTCAAATATCGAAACTTGTCAAAAATAATTCGAATCCTCATTAAAAAACACTTTCCCTCAGGTTTCTTTTTCTTGTATTAGTTTTAATTTCTCCAAATCCAATTTTAAATCCAAATAAAAGTTTTATTTTTTGGACTTTAGTACTTTAACTTCCTCTTTGTTCTTCTCCCTCCATTAAAATTCCCAAGTGCCAGTTAGCCACTCGTTTCCTCGGCAGGACACCTTGTAAAGTTTTTTTTAAGAAATTTCCATTTTTACCTGTGAGTTGGCCAATCACTCACCCGGTAACAGTACTCCATTCAGACACCACTCCTGCACAAAATCTTATTCCGGTTGCCCCAGCTTCAAAGCAGTCATTTTAAATGGCCGCCGCCACTGCCGCCAGTTTGAAGAGCTGCCTCTGACCTTTCGAGGAACTTGCCTGTTCTTGGTTGTCCGAGGCGCCTCTCCTTCTTCACCATCCCTACAGGACGGTTCTGGTCTGAAGACTGCCCAACAGCGGGTTGTTTGGCTGGATTTTCATGGGGCTCATCAGAGCCCGCTATTTTCCAGCCAGTCTTGCCGTGATGCTTCTGGTTTTTGGCTTGGCTTCCAAAGTTGTGGGTGCTCCATCACTGGAGGTTTTTAAGAAGAGACCGGACAGCCACTTGTCTGGAAAGATATAGGGTCTCCTGCTTGAGTAGGGTTGGACTAGAAGACCTCCAAAGTCCCATCCCTCTCTGTTGTTCTATTGTATTAAAAGAAAGGAAGCTTAGCAAATGTTTTTTTTTTTTAATTTGATTTATATGCCGCCCTTCTCCGGAGACTCAGGGCAGCTTACAATGCATTAAGCAATAGCCTTCATACTTTTGTATATTTATACAAAGTCAGCTTATTGCCCCCACAAACTGGGTCCTCATTTAACCTACCTTAGAAAGGATGGAAGGCTGAGTCAACCTTGAGCCTGATAAGATTCGAACCTGCAGAAATTGCAGGCAGCTGTGTTAATTACAGGGTGCATTAAACCACTGTACTACCAAGGCTCTTAGCAACATAAATTTTGGGACTCAATTGTGGTCGTAACTTGAGGATTACCTGCATAGTAACAAAAGTTCCATTTTTTTCTTTCCAGCTCTTTACCCCTGGCCTTTCTTCTCAAAGCACTGTTTTTTTTTTCAAGACTGCAGACTTAATTTCCTAGCTGATTGTGAAAAATGGGTTCATGCATCACACTAGGTTTTGCCGTGGCCTAGCGTGGCGCATTCAGAAAGCCAGTTAAAGGAATCTTGGCTTAGTGCCACATGAACACCCATCTGCCATCTTAACCCTGTCCTAGATGGCTCCTTAACTGCTCCTTGAGTTTCCAGTGGTTACACATGTTGTCCGATCCTGATGATTGTTTTTTCACTTACGATTGCATGACCCCATGGCTGCGTGATCGGAATTCAGACACTTGGCAACTGGCATGAACTTATGACAGATTGCAGTGTCCCGGGGTCATGGGATCTCCTTTTGCGACCTTCTGACAAGCAAAGTCAAGGAGTAAACCAAGATTCGTTTCGCAACGGTGTTACTAACTTAACAGCTGCAGGGATTCACTTACTAGCAAGAAAGCTCCTAAAATGGGACAACATTCACTTAACAAACGGTCTCTCTTAACAATTATGGTTATAAGTCAAGGACTACCTGTTTTATTGAAAAAACTCATATAGAGTAGCTGCCCATCTTAAATGCCAGTCTGCCTTTGCACTCTCTTCTAAGCTTAAATGCACCCACTCCCTCGCTTTTTAATTTGTTCAATAACTGAAATGTAATTTCAAGAAATAACAATATGTGTAATTCGTAACTAGCATAGAAAGCCATTGTTGTGTCAGGGACATAAGATCCACCCGTCTATGGAATTACCTGGATGTTCTCAAGATGGGATTCCAAAGCAGTTTACAATTTGAAAAAAAAGAGCTCCTTGAGCAGTGGATCATGCAGAGATCCCTGGCAGATCCATAGACATTCCATCACGCAGAAGCTTCCCTTGAGAGATTCTGGCTATTAGCAAAATGGGATTTCCCGCAGCCTCTCAGACAGTCCTCGCATTACAACCACAATTGTAATGTCTGTTGCTTTGCAGGACAGATATTAAGTGCATTTCGCTGCATTTTATGACCTCTCATGCCACGCTTGTTAAGTGAAACTTGGATTCCCCATTGATTTTGCTTGCCAGAAGATGTCAAAAGATGATTTCACACAACCCTCGGACATTGTGACTCTCCTAAACACGTGCCAGGAGCCAAGCGAATTTTGATCACGTGACAATGGGGATGCTGCAACAGTCGTGAGCATGGAAAAAAGGTCAAAACTCCCTGTTTTGAACTTCGGTCACTAAATGAATGGTTGTAAATCGAGGATTACCTGTCCCACTTCCAACGTTGCTTCATTGTCTGGAGATCAGCCAGGATCACCTTTCTTGCATGTTGTCATGGGGGTGGAGTGTGGAATTATTTTATTATTTTATTATTTTTGTTTTTGTTTTCTTTCTTATTTTCTTTCTTTCTTTTTCTTTCTTTCCTTCTTTCCTTCCTTCCTTCCTTTTCCCTCCTTCCTTTTCCTTTTCCTTTTTTTCTTTTGGTTTTTATACCCATGAAACCCGCCTTGAGTCTCCATGCGCGAGCAGGTGGCAATATAAAGTTTCTAAAATAAATAAAATAAATTGTGCAACATTCCTGCACAGCCTAAAACAGGGGGTCTCCAACCTTGGCAACTTTAAGACTTGTGGACTTCAACTCCCAGAAGCAGGGGTGAAATCCAGCAGGTTCAACAGGTTCTGGAGAACTGGTAGCGGAAATTTTGAGTAGTTCGGAGAATCAGCAAATACCACCTCTGGCTGGCCCCAGAGTGGAGTGGGAATGGGGATTTTGCAGCATCCTTCCACTGGAGTGGGGTGGGAATGGGGATTTTGCAATATCCTTCCCCCAGGAGTACGGTGGGAATGGGGATTTTGCAGTATCCTTCCCCTGGAGTGGGGTGAGAAGGTGGATTTTGCAATATCCTTCCCCCAGGAGTGGGGTGGGAGTGGGGATTTTGCAGTATCCTTCTCCCACGAGTAGGGTGGGAATGGGGATTTTGCAATATCTTTCCCCCAGGAGTGGGGAGGGAATGGGGATTTTGCAGTATCCTTCCCCTGGAGTGGGGTGGGAGTTGCTATTTTGCAGTATCCTTCCCCTGGAATGGGGTGGGAATGGGGATTTTGCAGTATCCTTCCCCTGGAGCGGGGTGGGAATGGGGATTTTGCAGTATCCTTCCCCTGGAGCGGGGTGGGAATGGGGATTTTGCAATATCCTTCCCCTGGAGTGGGGTGGGAATGGGGATTTTGCAATATCATTCCCCTGGAGTTTTTATTTTATTTTTTATTTTTTATTTATTTTTATATGCCGCCCTTCTCCGGAGACTCAGGGCGGCTTACAATGCGTTAAGCAATAGCCTTCATACTTTTGTATATTTATACAAAGTCATAGAAATGGGGATGGGAGTGGGGATTTTGCAGTATCCTTCCCCTGGAGTAGGGTGGGAGTGGGGATTTTGCAGTATCCGTCCCCCAGGAGTGGGGTGGGAGTGGGGATTTTGCAATATCCTTCCCCTGGAGCGGGGTGGGAATGGGGATTTTGCAATATCCTTCCCCTGGAGTGGGGTGGGAATGGGGATTTTGCAATATCCTTCCCCTGGAGTTTTTATTTTATTTTTTATTTTTATTTATTTTTATATGCCGCCCTTCTCCGGAGACTCAGGGCGACTTACAATGCGTTAAGCAACAGCCTTCATCCTTTTGTATATTTTATACAAAGTCATACAAATGGGGAGGGAATGGGGATTTTGCACTATCCTTCCCCTGGAGTGGGGTGGGAATGTGGATTTTTCAATATCCTTCCCCTGGAGTGGGGTGGGAATGGGGATTTTGCAGTATCCATCCCCTGGAGTGGGGTGGGAATGTGGATTTTGCAATATCCTTCTCCCAGGAGTAGGGTGGGAATGGGGCTTTTGCAGTATTCCTTTCCTGGAGTAGGGTGGGAATGGGGATTTTGCAATATCCTTGCCCCAGGAGTAGGATGGGAATGTGGATTTTGCAATATCCTTCCCTCAGGAGTGGGGTGGGAATGGGGATTTTGCAATATCCTTCCCCTGGAGTTTTTATTTTATTTATTTTTTTTTTTATTATTTTTATATGCCGCCTTTCTCCGGAGACTCAGGGCGGCTTACAATGCGTTAAGCAACAGCCTTCATCCTTTTGTATATTTTATACAAAGTCATACAAATGGGGAGGGAGGGAATGGGGCTTTTGCAGTATCCTTCCCCTGGAGTGGGGTGGGAATGGGGCTTTTCCAATATCCTTCCCCTGGAGTGGGGATTTTGCAGTATGCTTCCCCTGGAGTGAGGTAGGAGTGGGGATTATGCAGTATCCTTCTCCCAGGAGTAGGATGGGAATGGGGCTTTTGCAATATCCTTCCCCTAGAGTAGGGTGGGAATGGGGATTTTGCAATATCCTTGCCCCAGAAGTGTGGTGGGAATAGGAATTTTGCAGTATCCTTCCCCTGGAGTAGGGTGGCAATGGGGATTTTGCAATATCCTTCCCCTGGAGTGGGGTGGGAATGGGGCTTTTGCAGTATCCTTCCCCTGGAATGGGGTGGAAATGGAGATTTTGCAATATCCTTCCCCTGGTGTAGGATGGGAACGGCGAATCCTTGACCCGTTGCCAAACTCGCTCACCCACCTGTGCCCGGGAACGGGGCTGCGAAGAGCAAAACCCCCCACCTCCTCCCCACCCAGCCGGGCAACCTGTCCTGTTACGCGCTGCTAGCCGGGAGAAGGGCGTCTCTCTCTCTCTCGCTCTCTTTTTTTTTTTTTATTCCACCGACCGAACATCTGGCCGGCCAGGTGTCTTTAATGAAGCCTCCCGGCTGGTCCGTTCCGTCCTCTGGCGCCTCCTGCCTGCGGGGGTCGCATCTCGCGGACTTCCCGGCGGCTGCCGCTGCGCGCACGCGGAGTCCTGCGCAGGGAACGGGGATGGCGATGGACGGGCTGGCCGCGCAGCAGCGGTTCCCCCAACAAGACGCGGGTAACGCGGAGGGGACCCTTACGACGCCCCCTTTTCTGCCTCCCGGACTCCCCCTGTTGCTTGCGTGGCTGCTTTACGGATGGTTGGGCGAGGGGGCGCAGCTGCCTGGCTACCCGGCTGCCTTTTTGGGGTGGGGTGGGGTCCTCCCTCCGTCTCCCCCCCCCAAAAAGGCTCCTTGAGCCCCCCACCCCTGCGCCCGTCCCGTTTGGAAAGACGCTTTGGCTAAGAACCCCCAACCCCAAAACTTGGGGACCAAGTTTTGCGCCCCATAGCAATAGCGTGGGAAAGGTGCTCTTGCTTTACAACGGGGAGGATCCTGTGTGGAAGGGTCCCACAAGAGCTGAGAGCCAGGGGCTGTGGGCTTGCACCCCCTCCCACCCCCGTGGCAAGGATCCGGGTGAGGTTGGCTTGCCTTGGGGGGGGTGGGGGGGTTGAGGGGTGGGCTGGGTTTCCTGCCCCGTGTGAATCCCCCCCCTGCCACGCCTTCCTTGCAAAAGAATGAAATTGCAGCCTAACTTTGGGAACTCCCGACCAAAAAGCGCACAAGGTGGTTTGTTGGGGATTTAAGCCCCGATTAAGCCACAGTTTAGAGTGATGTGGGTGAGCAGCAGCTCTCAGGTTTTTGGGAATGGAGCCTTGGCTATCCTGGTTGCGTTGCAAGAAGGAAAGCTTTTCCTTTCCTTTTCAAAGGGGATAAAAAAAAAACTTTTTTTTTTTGAGTTTTAGCAAAGTTTATCCTTCCCAGAGGGGTTCCCAACAATATTCCCAAACGAGGAGTTTCAAAATTAAGAGTGTATGTGTGCATAATTCTAATGTGCAATTATATGCCTATAATTGTTTATTTTTTTAAAGGGGTGCAAGAACACATCGGAAGCGTTTGAGGGGTGCTGGGTATAGAAAAGGTTGGGAACCCCTGAATTAGAAGGACGAAGAGCAATTTTTTGGTCTCTTCTGTGTACAGAGCCAGGAGGAGGAATAGCACTTTAGACTTATATACCACTGTTTGTTTGTTTGTTTGCTTGTTTTATTTATTTCTCTCTCTCTCTCTCTCTCTCTCTCTCTCTATCTATCTATCAGTTCGATTTATATGCCGCCCTTCTCCGGAGACTCAAGGTGGCTTACAATGCCGCCCTGAGTCTCCGGAGAAAGGCGGCATATAAATTGAACTAATAAATAAATAAAATAAATGCGTTAAGCAATAGCCTTCATACTTTTGTATATACCTGCTTAGTAGGGCTTTCGCCCCCCCCCCCTCCGCTCTAAGTGGTGTTCTTTTTTATTCCCACCCCACTCTGGGGCCAGCCAGAGGTGGTATTTGCCAGTTCTCTGAACTACTCAAAAGTCAGTTTATTGCCCCCATAGTCCAGGTCCTCATTTTACCTACCTCGGAAGGATGGAAGGCTGAGTCAACCTTGAGCCTGGTGAGATTTGAACTCGCAGTAATTGCAGGCAGCTGGCAGCTAAGTGCTACTTAACAGCACTTTAGTCCGCTGCACCACCAAGGCTCTTTTACAGCGCTTTCTAAGCGGTTTACAGAGTCGTCGTCCCCCCCCAAAAAATCTGGGGTTCTCATCCAAGCCAGGATGTTGGTTGGCCAGAAAAATGCAGTCTTTGTATCAACCTTTCTGTCCCATGTGTTCCCTACAGTTGCATTTTCTGAGTTTTCCCCCTTGCATGGACTTGCTGCAGTCCTCCTGCAAAATTTCCCCTCTTTCAAGGGAGCCTAGGCCTCTGCCCAGTGGTGAAATCCAAATTTTTTTAACCACCGGTTCTGTGGGCGTGGCAGGGAAAGGATGCTGCAAAACCTCCATTCCCACCCCACTCCAGGGGAAGGAGACTGCAAAATCCCCATTCCCACCCCACTCGGGGGCCAGCCAGAGGTGGTGTTTGCCAGTTCTCTGAACTACTCAAAATTTCCGCTACCGGTTTTCCAGAACCTGCTGGATTTCATCCCTGCCTCTGCCATTTGGGGTCCCTGAGACCTGCAAGCCATGGTGGATTTTAAGGTTAAGGGTGGCTCTCTAAGAACGTGATTACAGACAATGTGTATTTCACCATTCCAGGGTCACAAAAAAGTCAACAGGAGGGCTGCATCCAGATAATCCAAGCTCCGATTCCTGCTTTAGATGTGACACCTGTAAGGGAGGAATAGGCTCAGGCTCAACCCATCCAAGACCGAGTGGCTGTGGGTTCTGATGTCCCGATATAGTCAGGTGGCGCCATCACTGACTATTGGGGGCGAATCATTGGCCCCAATGGAGAGGGTTCGCAACTTGGGCGTCCTCCTGGATTCACAGCTGTCTTTAGAAGAGCACTTGATGGCTGTGACCGGGAGGATTTTTCATCAGATTCGCCAGTTGCGTCCCTTTCTGGATCGGGACTCCTTACGCATGGTCACTCATGCCCTCGTCACTTCCTGCCTGGACTATTGTAACGCTCTCTACATGGGGCTCCCCTTGAGGAGCACCCGGAGGCTCCAACTGGCGCAGAGTGCAGCTGTGGTAATGGGAGTGACATGGCGTTCCCATGTAACATCTCTCCTGCATGAGCTGCACTGGCTCCTGGTAGTCTTTCGGTCACACTGGTAAAAAAACACAAAGATGGGAAAACTTTTCTCTTTATCTATGGAGATTCAAGATTTTGGTTACCATCTTTAGAGCGCTCCATGGCTTAGGACCTGGTTACTTACGAGACCGCCTACTACCACCAATAGCCTCTCACCGACCATAGAGAGGGGCTCCTCCAGGTACCATCGGCCAAACAATGTCGACTGGTGGCCCCTAGGGGGAGAGCCTTCTCTGTGGGGGCACCTACTAACTGGAATGAGCTCCTCCCGGAGATACGGAGGATCCCGGATCTGCGCACCATCCGCTGCGCTCTCAAGACCTTTTTATTCCACCAGGCGGGCCTGGCCTAATCTTTTCCCCCTTTTTCTCTTTTAATACATAAATTTTAATCTGTTTTTTTAAATGATTAGGGTGTTTTAAATCTGTCTGGGCCAAATTTGTTTAATTCGGTTTTATTCTTTTTTTAAAATTTTGTATTTATGTATTTTATTGTTTGGCTGTCCACCGCCCTGAATCCTTCGGGAGTAGGGCGGTATATAAATCAAATAAAGACTAAAGACGCCTATATGCAATGCACATAAAAAGGGTCATATGGGCCCAGCAACCAGTTGATCTTGACCGGCTCAAGGTGGACTCAGCCTTCCGTCCTTTCTAGGTCGGTAAAATAAGGACCTAGGTTGTTGTGGGGCAAGATTCTGACATTGTAAGCAGTCCCAGAGAGTGTTGTAAACCATGGGGATGGGCTAAATGCTATTGTTGTTCAGTTTCTGTTCTGTTCTGACTCTAAAGTTATTTTTTCCCCCTAAAGATTGTGCTTTTTGCAATTTCATCATTAAATGTTTCAATCAGAGTTTGGGTTCCTGATAAGGAGATGGTTTAAATGTGAAGTGCACACGCGATTTTGTCCGTATCTCGGGACAAATCACAACATGTATTGAATATACCCATGTTTCCCCGAAAATAAGACCTCCCCGGATAATAAGCCCAGTCGGGCTTTTGAGTGCATCTGTTAAAATAAGCCCTCCCTGGAAATATTTAAACCCATGTGCAGCCGGTACCTGCTATTTCCTCTGGTTAGGGTTAGGGAGACAGAGCTGGAAATCAGGTAAGACGGCAAGAGGAGCCCCATCTTGCTCCACGCCCCCCAAAATAATAAGACCTTCCCAAAAATAAGGCCAAGCGCTTATTTCAGGGTTCAAAAAAATATATAAGACGGTCTTATTTTCGGGGAAATACCATATCCCTTGAGGTTATTTTGACCTTTCCCAGGGTAGAAATCCATAAATCGCATTCCCAAATCAAACTCCCAAACTCAGTCCATGCAGCTGGGACAGGGGTCAGCAACCTGCAGCTCTGGAGCTGCATGTGGCTCTTTCACCCCTCTTCTGTGGTTCCCTGTCACTCAAAATACGTGTCACAACCATCAATGTGCGATACCCGCCGGCACGCTATTTATTGAGCTTTTCAACCCCCCGGTAGGCCAACCATGGATAAATCCCAAGAAAAGAAAATTTTCAGAAGAAAATAGAACATTTAATTCAACTACATATGCTAGTTTTGTGGCCGCTCAAAAAATAGTCAGGCACCGGAAGGGTTTTTGTGACTCCCGGTGTTTTCTTTTCTGTGGGAAACGGGTCCAAATGGCTCTTTGAGTGTTTAAGGTTGCAGACCCCTGGGGTTAATTCACTTGGTCTTTCGTCGTCTTCTACTGTCTTTCCACTTTAGAATTTTAAAATTGAAAATGTGTTTGTTTGTTTGGTATTGATGATAACATGAGGTCCTTTCTTTATTAGTGTACAAGGCCAAATTTAAGGAGCCGGAAGAGAGAGGAGCAAGTGAGTCACTTCTGTGCACAGAACAATTGGCTTCAAATGAAAATCTCATGAATGAGGTTAGCGCTCAAAGCAGTATTGGCTGCGTGGATCACGCTGAGACCCTTGGTGATCCACCTGGAAAGATCCTGAAAAAAGAAGGGAGCCCTGAAGTTTCAAAGGAGGAAGAGGAAGAAGACGGAGAGTACTATCTAGAACCCAAGCCGGAATCCCATCTTGCACCGCTGACGTCTTTAGATTCTCATCCGCTCGCTTTCTACCAACCTTCCAACCGAACAGCCAGTTTTAGTGACATAAACACTGAGCCTCCAATTTCCGAAACTGGACATAACCAAGACTTCGTCCATCTTTCCGAATCAGAAGAAAAAATAGACTTGGGCAACTTGAATGTGACCGAAAAGGAGATTATAAAAAAGAAAGCCAAGAAGATCTTTGCAAGGCCTTCCCAAAACGCTTCTTGTGTCGGGCTGGAAAACGAACAAAATCCAGATGTCAACCAGAACCTCAATCCCACACGCAGGTCAGCCAGATGTGCTACAGCAAGTAACGTCAGCCAGCCGCCTTTCAGGCACTGTTCAGCGCTGGTATCCAAAGGCGACGCGGCTGGAATTCAGGATCGGGAAGATTCCGATTTGCTAGAAATCGCCAAAAAACCTGTTCCGCCTCCTCGGAAGAAAACACGAACTTTCTACAACGCTAGTAAGTTACAAAGAATCAATCGATCCTTGAGTGGTTTGTGTAATTTGGTACTGCAAGCAGTCCTCGACTTACGACCGCGATCGCGCCCAAAATTTCAGTCACTAAGTGAGACGTTTGGTGGAACTTTGCCCCGTTTTAACGACCTTTCCTGCCACCGTTGTTAAGTGGATCCCTGCAGTGGGTTAAATTAGTAACAAAAGCTGGGAAGGGAATCTGGCTTCCCCTATTGACTCTGCTTGTCGGAAGGTCGTAAAAGGGGTTCGTGTGACCCCAGGGCGCTGCAACCGTCATAAATATGAGTCAGTTGCCAAGAGTCTGAATTTTGATCACGGGGTGGCTGCAACTGTGGTCGTAACTGTGAAAAATGGTCATAAGTCACTTTTTTCCCAGTGCCGTTGTAACTTTGGTCGCTAAATAAACTGTTGTAAATCGAGGACTAGTAAGCCTGACTAAGTGGCTCAGTGGCTGAGACCCTGAGCTTGTCGATCAGAAAGGTTGGCAGTTCGGCAGCTCGAATCCCTTGCACAGGTCTGCGTGGTGAGCAGGGGGGTGGACTAAATGACCTCCAAGGTCCCTTCCAACTCTGTTACTGTTAATCTGTAATCTCCCATTTAACCTGAAGATCTTGAAACAAAGCCCCCGTCCCCTGGTTTCCTTGGGCATTTTTTGGTTTCTTCTAATTTCCAGGTGTGCATACTGAGTTTGGTGAGCAGATAAAAAGTAGTGTTTTGTCTCCTTAAGTCATTAGTAGCAGCCTTTTCAAACTGCTTGAATTAATTTTGGTTGCAAAACTGATTCATTACCCAGATTCCTGTGCAAAATGATTTCTTCCCAGCCTGGCCTTGACCTTGTAGCTTTGGAGAAACTAGCAATCACTCCCAGCCGCACAAATTCCCACCCAGGTGGCCAGTAAAAAGGATCTATTTAAAGGAGCTGGAAGACGGAAGGTTATCTTCTCCTCTCAGCTGTTTAAATTAGGCAGGTCAGGAAATGGGCCCCTCTAGGATTTCAGAAATACTACTTTATTGTTATAGGGCAGGAGTCTCCAAACTTGGCAACTTTAAGACTTGTGGACTTCAACTCCCACAATTCCTCTGCCAGTTTTTTTTTCCCCTCATGCCTTCGTCTTTCCCATGAGTTGTTTAATTTCCCTTAATAATACTTTTAATAAAAAGGAGTCCCTGCGGATTTTACTCCACAAGTCGGACGTGAGGTGCTCATTTCCATTTCAAGGCCATTGAGTCAGCGCTGTCGGAAGACATTTCTGTGGTCATGTGGCCAGCATGACGTCATGGAGCGCTGTTTCCTTCCCACCGAAGTGGTACCTATTTATCTACTCGCGTTTGCATGCTTTCGAACTGCTAGGTTGGCAGGAGCTGAGGCGAGGACAGGAGCTCACCCCATCCTCGAGCTCGGGTCTCGAACCTGAGCTGCCGGCTTTCCAGCCGACAAGCCTAAAATCTTAACTCTTGCATTATTCTTTTATCAAGGTTATCTTTTCAAGAGCTGCTCTCTTGCCAGCTTTAGCTGCCCCTCATTGTGAGATCTTTGTGCCATGGGGCATAAACGGAAAGAAAAATATGGTTCTTGGTGAGATATGTGTGTGTGTTTTAAAATCAATGAATATTAACACATATCATTTTCTTACTTATAGCTTTATTGATTAGCCTATAGCAGGGGTGAAATCCAGCAGGTTCTGACAGGTTCTGGAGAACTGGTAGCGGAAATTTTGAGTACTTTGGAGAACCGGCAAATGCCACCTCTGACTGGCCCCAGAGTGGTGTGGAAATGGAGATTTTGCAGTATCCTTCCCCTGGAGTGGAGTGGGAATGGAGATTTTGCAGCATCCTTCCCCTGCCACGCCCACCAAGCCACGCCCACAGAACCGGTAGTAAAAAAAAAAATTGGATTTCACCACTGGCCTATAGGCCATATCAAAGGTTCAGACAGATATCACCAATAAAATCCAATACAAACAATTTAAAATAAGAGTAGGGTAAAATACAATAGTTTATAGGATAAGATACAATATAACTTAATACATAAGTATGTAAAATAGAATAAAATGACATAAAATTATATTTCAGTGTCGACCCCAATCAGTCCCACGTATGCAGATCTTAACCGAGCCATTTTGTTTAAATACTGTCCTGTGTTAAATGTTATTTTCAGGTTTTGGCCGCACATAAAGTAAGTTATTTTGATATGGGGGTCCCAGTGGGTCCTTCGTTTCTGAGGTACCTGAGAAAGGTACCTGTCTCTCATGGGACGCAGTGGCTCAGTGGCTAAGATGCTGAACTTGTCGATCAAAAGGTCGGCAGTTCAGCGGTTCGAATCCCTAGTGCTGCGTAATGGGGTGAGCTCCCGTTACTTGTCCCAGCTTCTGCCAACCGAGCAGTTCGAAAGCAGGTAAAAAATGCAAGTAGAAAAATAGGGACCACATTTGGTGGGAAGGTAACAGCGTTCCGTGCGCCTTTGCAGTTTAGTCATGCCGGCCACATGACCACGGAGATATCTTTGGACAGCTGTGGCTCTTCGGCTTTGAAACGGAGATGAGCACTGCCCCCTAGAGTCTGGAATGACTAGCACATACGTGCAAGGGGAACCTTTACCTTTATCCTACCTGTCTCTCACCCCCTTATACAAGCAACAATCAAATAGAATGTGAGTCAGGTCTTCTACCTCTCCGCAAATGCAGAGATGCTCATTATAGGGCTGTGATGGCAAACCTATGGCACGGGTGCCAGAGGTGGCACATGGAGCCCTATCTGTGGGCACGCGAGCATTGCCCTACCTCAGTCCAGCACGCATGTGCGCGCTGGCCAGCTGATTTTCAGGCCTTCCTGGCCCACCGGAAGTCGGGAAACGGGCTGTTTCTGGGCTTCCGGAGGGCCTCTGGGGGAGTGGGGAAGGCTATTTTTGCCCTCCCCAGGCTCCTAGAAAGGCTCTGGACCATGGGGAGGACAAAAAAAATGGGCCTACCAGCCCACTGTTCCATCGCGTGCCAAAAGTGGGGGGGGGAGTAGAGGGATCACACGCTCATGCGTGGGGGGACTTGACGCATTGAATTATGGATGGGGGCACGCGCACGCACAATCCCCCCCCACTACCCCCACTTTTGGCACACAACGGCAAAAAGGTTAGCCATCACTGTTTTAGGGTATAGAATGGAATTTCCCATATCTGACCATTGTGTCAAGCTGCTCGAATCTCGCTCGTGTAAACATCTTCCTAAGATGTTTTGGCAGTTGCAACTTCAAATAGCTTCTACTTGAAAAGTACATTTGTATTTGCTCAGCCATTTCGAGTTACCCACCTTACTAAGGTTACCGATATCATTTTGTGCTTCTATATCCTGAATTCTTTTGGGCAGCTCTTTTTTTTTTTTTTTAAACGTTCTCCTGTTATGCAAGAGACAGGAAGGCCACAGCTTCTTACAAAATTTGCTAGTTTGGTGATCCAGGAGATTTGTGATTGTAATTTTATTTGCTCTAGTAGACATAACTTGGGGAGTCTATTAGTCTCCATTTCATTGACTTTGCACCAGTAATTATATGCTCTAATTTTGGATAGTGCTGTTGTGACCAGGCTCACTTAGTCATTACAAGACACAATTAGTCTTTTTCTGTCAAATAAATATATTTTATTATAACAGCTGAGAATTACTTCATTCTCAGCTTAGTCCAAATTAATTCCAAAACAAGTCCTTCAGAAAAAGCCCTTCGGGCTTATCACAAACCTTTGTCTTCTTTGGCACCCTGCCAAAGGCCTTTCTTGGCAAAGCCCCATGAAGTTCAGAAACAAGAGACGCCAATTGGAAACAGATTTAGCAACGTTGCTTTCCTACAAAGAGCCCAAGAGCCTTTGCTGCTCTTTGAAGCCTTATGGGAGGGGCCAATCATCTTCTGGCCTTACTCCCGAGTCGTCCTTTTTGCTTTAGCTGCTCTTGCCTTCTGGCAGCTTTGCACATGCGTGCACTAGGAACAGGCTCCTCCTGTTCTTCTGCCTCTCTGCTGTCCGACTGGAGGCTCCAGAGTCCATGCATCGCTCCCAGATGGCCCTGGCCCCATCTCTGCCTCTAACACAGAGCCCTCGTCCGAGCCTTCCCCAGACTCCAGGACTGGCCCATATCCCTCCCAAATCTCGTCACTGTCCAACTCCACTGCTAGCTCCGCGGACTGTGGCAGACCACAGCAAGTGCATGAATTGTATGAATTCCCAATTTTCAAGCTTTCCCTAACTGTCTGGTTATGTTTCTTTTCCTGGTTGCTTCCTCACATTATTTTGTTAATTGATTGACCTCATTTCCAGTACAGCTACAGGAACTGGAGAAAACATTCCAAGAAGACCATTATCCTGACAACGAGAAGCGCCGAGAAATTGCTGCTTCAGTTGGTGTGACACCCCAGCGCATTATGGTGAGTAGAGCAGCAGAAAGATAGAACATAGTTATCCAGAAATGTTGCGTCCAATATTTCTGTACCACAATCCAGAGTTAATCATTCATAAAGCAAGGATCTTGTCCCACGTTCTTAGAGATAAACAAGGTCAGTGGAAGTAGTCCTCAACTTACAACGATCCACTTAGGGACCGTTCAAAGTTACAACGGCACTGAAAAACGTGCTTTATGACCATTTTTTTCACACTTATGACCGTTGCAGCATCCCCACAGTCACATAATCAAAATTCGGATGCTTGGCAAATGGCCCCTATTTATGACGGTTGCCGTATCCCGGGGGTCCCCTTTTGCGACCTTCTCAGAAGCAAAGTCAATGTTGAAGCCAGATTCACTTAACAGCTGTGTCACAAGTCACATTGTTCACCGCTGTTGTAACTTTGAATGGTCACTAAATGAATTGTTGTAAGTCGAGGACTACCTGTACAAATTCCCAGCCAACATAGGAGGTTGGATCAAGGGATTGTCCTGTCTGTCCAAGAACTTTCTTTGACTAATCACTTTCACCTTTTTTTCCTTAGGTCTGGTTCCAGAATCGCCGAGCAAAGTGGAGAAAAATAGAAAAACTGATGGTGAAAAACAATAAGAAATACTCCCTTGCTGCGCCAGCTTTACCAGTGGATCCTCATCGAATGCCACAAGGGTGAGAAGATCCTGCCTCTTACTTTCAGGAATGTTGAGGAATATCGCAGAGTAACCCCTGAGTAGCAAGGATGTGCACATGAGAAATGGCTAAGAGTGATAATGAATAAGCACTGTCAATACACAGACACACTGAGTTGTGATATTCTTTTACTTTTAGGAAAAAGTAAAGCAAAATCCAATAAACAATCCAGGTCATACACAGATAAAGATAGTTAAATTGTCAATCCAGGGATATTCCAAGAACAAAGTCTTCTTACCAGTTGTTGTAGTCATATGCAGTAAAACAGTTCTTTTTGGAGTTGCAAACATGAACAAGTACAGCAGTAAAACGATCAGTAAAACAGTAGAAAACCACAAGTAGCAATGATCAAGCAGTGATCATGCAGAGAGGAGCAGAGATAACAATAAGAATGTAATAAGCATGCAGTAAGAAATAAGCCATGATTCAAGCTTCCTCTTAAGAACATTGGCTACAAAGCTAGCCAATCAGAATGCAGTATGATGCAATACAGCATTACAGTCTTAAAGCTATACAATACATTTTGACTGCAAACATGCATTGATGGTTTATATATATTGTCAACCCAACCAGTTAGGCAATAGCCATTTCCTAACAAGGACATCTGTTGGCCAGGGGTGAAATCTACTTGCCTTCCTTACCGGTTCGGAAGTGCACGCGCCGTGCGCACGCAGACCTTCTGCACATGCTCAAAACCTTAGTAAAGAACACATTACTTCCTGGTTAAACCAGGAAGTAACGACACCCAGGTGGGTGGGCGGAGCTTTGCTCCGCCATCGCTACCGGATCGCCGGTAGCGACCGGGACAATCACTACCGAATCGCCCAATCTAGTGTGAACCGGAAGGATTTCAGCCCTGCTGTTGGTGCTTTCTTAGAGGATTTGAAGAGCTGAGAGGTCTTTGGTGCTCTCTGAGCTTGGTTGTTTTCTTGCAGACATTTCATTATCCAAATTAGGTAACATCATTAGTGCTAGTCCAGCGCTAGTCACTAGCACTGATGATGTTACCTAGTTGGGTCACGAAATGTCTGTGTTCTGTCCCCGTTCCACTCACGCACCCCCACAGACGGCCCGGAGTTAATAAGCCACACGACAAAACTCTTTGAAAATAAAGCTGGCAGCAACCCAGTGGCTAGCTGCCAATTCAGACTTTACTCACACAAAACAAAGATTAGACTGCTAGCATTCAGATAAAACAGGCAGAGTTTTCAACAATACAAGGATTAATCCAAATGCAGTCCGATAAAGCAGGCAAAGTCCAGTAACGCAGAGATCATGGATTATTTCTAGTTTTTGCTCGTCACAAACTGAACCGGCCACCACACCCACATTTATACCCTGTGGGGTGTGGTCCAGTGACTCAGCTAATCTCTGGCACGCCTTCCCCTCTGCTGTGCATGCTTCTCCCTGTGCCTCTGGCGAGGGTCCAGCCAGCACTTATCTCCTTCGTCACTGTCCACCTGTGGCTTAGGGGACGTGCTTGGCTCTGAGCCTATCTTTTGGCCTTCGGTGTCCTCTGGAGGCATTGCCAGAGAGGAGGGTCCTGGAGAGGGAGGCCTTGCCAACTCCTCTTCCTCACTCTCAGAGTCTGCATCTGTCGATAGCCCAGGCTCAGGCAACAGAGCCACAACAATCTGCAGGAAAACCGCCAAGCTCAGAGAGCTTCAAGGATCCCTCATTTCAACTCTTCTTTATTAGTCCTAGAGCTTCCCAGCAGTTCATTATTTTGAAGAAGCTCTTTTACTATCTTTAGTATCTTTACATTGCCTCCTTATCCCACTGGCCAAATTCTGATTAAGTTTTATTAATCACTTTGAAACATAATCTGTGCTATAAAGCTGGAGCGTAAATCTTGCAGTAACTAACTCTGAGGTTCTTGGTGGGGTTCTTGTAGACATTTCATTACCAAACTAGGCAACGTTATCAGTAATTAACTCTGGCTGATGGCATGTTTCTGAAATCTACAATCTCTTCTGAGGTGGTTCTGTTAATGTCACCAGGACAAAAAAATATATATTTATTTATTAGTTCGATTTATATATGCCGTCCTTCTCCAGAGACTCAGGGCGGCTTACAATGCATTAAGCAATAACCTTCATACTTTTGTATATACCTGCTTAGTAGGGCTTTCGGCCTCCCCTAAGCGGTGTTCTTTTTTAATACAAAGTCAGTTTATTGCCCCCACAATCCGGGTCCTCATTTTATCTACCTCAGAAGGATGGAAGGCTGAGTCAACCTTGAGCCTGGTGAGAATATCATTGAATCATTAAATCAATTATTTAATTAATTTAACCTCACCAGGTTAAATCTCAAGTCAACCTTGAGCCTGGTGAGAATATCATTAAATCATTAAATCAATTATTTAATAATCCAAATTTAAAAAATTGGCTCTTAAAGGAAACCACAAAGAGGATGCATTTAAACCTTCCCCAATGACCAAATAACTTAATTCTGGTTTGGAACAAAAATAATAATAATAATAATCCTCTTTTCATGACCCCATAATCCCTTGCGGGTCAGGGTGGCGTCTGGGCAACGGAATGGAGTTGAGTGTTTACTGGCCGGATGCCCTTCCTGTCACCAACGCGGAGTTTTTTTTTTTTTCAGCAGATAAATTCTCATCGTGTCCAGAGAGAGAGAGAAATATCTGCCTCTACCTAGGCTTGAACTCACAGCCTGCTGATTGTAGGGCGAGAGCTCCACCTCTAGGCCACTGCACCACTCATTTGGAAGAAAAAAAAATGCTATAGTAAATTAGGGCACTGCTGTTCTGCTCAGTCCTGCTCAGTTGAGAAGGGTTAGCCTCATTAAAGAGGAAATGTCTTGTTCTTTTTGTGGTGTTCTCCAAGTGATCCCTTAATAAGAAGAGAGACAATTCTGTTTTCCACACTAGACAAGAAAATCCCACGAATCAAGCAGCAGAAAAAAAATGCTTCGGTGTTGCTTTCTAGTCGTAATGTTTTCCTTTTCTTACAGCACAACTGTGTTGGCTATGGCTCAGCTGTCTGACATGGGAAACCATCAACCTAACACCGTCACAATGGATACTGCAACTGTGAACTATTCTGGACCCTCCATCTCATTGTCCACCTCATCAGGTGAGATCTGTTACCACCTCATCAGTGGAACCACTCATGTTCTCCTTTCTCTAAAAGGCTGCTTAATTTCTCCTCTTAAATTGTTTCAACTCCTACCCTCAAAACGACGTGAACTGCACACCAGAACAACTAGACACAAGGACAGTTTTTTCCCAAACGCCATCGCTCTGCTAAACAAATAATTCCCTCAACACTGTCAAACTATTCACTAAGTCTGCATTACTATTAATCTTCTCTTCCTTACTAATATCTATCTCTTCCCACTTATTACTATAACCATGTCGCTTATATATCTCAATTTATATTGTTTTTATCTATTTCCTAGTACGATTTGATAGCTTATTAGTAACCTTGATTATCACCGTGTTGTATCTTTTTATTCTCGATGAATGTATTTTATTCTCCTTATGTACACTGAGAGCATATACACCAAAGACAAATTCCTTGTGTGTCCAATCATTTATTGCTGTAGGGCATAATGACAGAATCCTGACAATTCGGCAGAATTTTCTCTTACATGAAACAGAATTAAGGAACAGTTATCTTGAGGTTCTTTCACACCCTTTCCCAGTTGTCATTTTCTTTCCTCACTTGACAGCTCATCCATTTCTTCACCAAGGTTGTCTCTGCATTCCTTTATGCCACCAGGAAAACATAGGTTTATATTGTTGTTAGTTGCGAAGTCATGTCTGACCCATCGCGACCCCATGGACAAGGTTCTTCCAGGCCTCTATCTTCCTCTGGAGTCCATTTAAGCTCACGCCGACTGCTTCAGTGACTCCATCCAGCCACCTCATTCTCTGCCGTCCCCTTCTTCTTTTGCCCTCCATCGTTCCCAGCATTAGGCTCTTCTCCAGTGAGTCCTTCTTTCTCATTAGGTGGCCAAAGAATCTGAGTTTCATCTTCAGGATCTGGCCTTCTAAAGAGCAGTCAGGGTTGATCTCCTCTAGGATTGACCGGCTGGATCGCCTTGCAGTCCAAGGGACTCACAGGAGTCTTCTCCAGCACCAGAGTTCAAAGGCCTCAATTCTTTGGCGCTCAGCCTTCCTTATAGGTCCAACTTTCACAGCCATACATTGCAACTGGGAAAACTGTAGCCTTGACTATACGCACTTTTGTTGGCAGGGTGATGTCTCTGCTTTTTAGATATCCCCCCAAAAAAGGCAGTGCTGAGCAACTTTGTAGGAGATAAACAACATTTTGAATTGGACATTGAAAACTTCTGGCAACTGGTGCAGCAACTATAAAAATAAGTAGTATTTGCCGGTGACAGAATCTATCCACGAAACTAATTTGGCTGTCATGTTATGAACCAGCTGCAACTTCTGGATTGTATGCATGTACGTATTTATTTATATCCTTCCTTTATTATTTTTACAAATAAGGTAGGGGGAGAATATACCAAATATTCCTTCTTCCTCCTATTTCCCCCAAAATAACCAACAGCCAACTGTAAGAAGTTAGCACCCATCCCTGTCCTAGAGGAATGAAATATTTTGGGAAATATTAAAAAGGCAGAATATTATGTTTCCCTGGATGAGCAATGGAGAAGCATGTTTTAAAGACAAAGCAGCTCCCATCTTCCTGCCCCCACCCTTTGTTAATGGGCCAGAGGCAGAAACTCAATCTTTGTCAATGGACCATCATCTGCAACATAATAGGACCCATCTAGCAACAGAAACTCACCACATGGCACCTGGGAAGATTACATCCGCCAGCAAGGCTAGCTAAGACCCCCACCCCCTGGGAGTCTGACAACCAATCAGGATACTCTTTCTGGGCCCCAGGAAGTTCAAAGCCAGAGAGGGCATAAAATCCGGGGACTCGCTGTGTCTCGCCCCTTTTTCTGTTCAGGAACTCAAGCCATGTGATCCTGTCCACCATTAAACCATCTTTCCAAGCAGTCTCCATGTTTCCAGTGTCTTTTTCCCCACTTGGAGCTGAACCCAGAAGGATATTTCTTCCTACACAACCAAGCCTAGTGCCAGAGACACATCCAGATGAGCTTTCGAAGTGTTTCAGCTTCTTCAAGTCAGAGAAAGTCAGGACTCTGCATTCTTTTTTTTTTTTATTGAAAAGTTTTACAAAAAGTTTACATATTCCCCCCCCCACCTTCCCTACCTCAACCTCCCCCCTCCTCTTCCCAGAACAAATTACAGGGTATAACCTTCAACAATCATAATCAATCCTAGTCTAAATAATTATGACATTCCACATCTCTTGTTCCTTCAATTCCCTAATTACCCGCTTAGCTTTATTACTTAAAGACACACCAAATATCTATATAATCATTCATAACCTATCTGCAATTTCTTATTCCGGTATTTATTTTGAATATAATCTATCCATCTTCTCCAGCCTCTTAAATATCTTTCATTTGAATGATCCTTCAAGTACGCCGAGATTTTTGCCATTTCCGCTAGGTTTGTAACTTTCATTGTCCACTCTTGGACTCTGCATTCTTACAGCAATAATATATAGAGCCATGAGATGGCACCATAAGACAATTGTCTCGTCTCTTTTAAGGATTCCTGTCCCACGTTTAATCTACCAGTAAATAAACAGAAAAAAAAAAGGAATGCGGGTGTGCAACATTTTTTTTTTCTTTTCAGTTTTCCCTATAGGTCTCTCGAGCTTTCTTGCAAAATAAAAATGAGAGATGGGAGCAGGGGTGAAATCTACTTACCTTCCTTACCGGTTTGGAAGTACACAGGCTGTGCATGCACTCGCTTTGTGTTCACGCAGAACTTCTGCACATATGCAGAAGGTAAAAAACACATGACTTCCTGGTTAAAACCAGGAAGTAATGACACTTGGATGGGTAGGCGGAGCTTTGCTCCGCCATCACTTCTGGATTGCCGAAACCAACAGCCAAGATCGCTACTGGGCAATCCAGTCTAATCCGGGAGCATTTCACCCCTGGATGGGAGGTTGAAAACCGTAGCTTACTTTTGACTGTTGTGAAATTGAGACACCGTTGTTTTCGATGGGTAGGAGAAGTCCCATCAACCAGTTTGCAAAGCACAGACGCCATTTTGTGCTTGCTCCTCGTGGACTGTTGGAAGAAAATGTCCATCTGGGTTCGGTTCCAAGTGGGGAGAAAGACACTGGAAACATGGAGACTGCTTGGAAAGATGGTTTAATGGTGGATACAAGATGACATGGTTTTGAGGTCCTGGGCAAAAAAGAACATGGGGGAGAGAGAGAGAGAGAGAGAGGCGCAGAGAGAGGGGGGGGAGGGGGGGGAGAGGGGAGAGAGAGGGAGAGGAGAAGAGAGGGGGAGAGGGAGAGAGAGGCAGAGAGAGAGGGGGAGAGGAGAGAGAGAGAGAGGAGAGAGAGAGAGAGGAGAGAGAGAGAGAGAGGGATTTATACCCTCTGTTGGGCTTTGAATTTGAGCTTGTATTCTGATTGGTTGTCAGACTCCCATGAGGCCATGCAGGAGTAACTTAGTAGGTTGTCTTTTTGAGTCCCAGGCTTGGTTGAGCCTTGCTGGGTGATGCAATCTCCCCAGGTGCCATGTGGTGAATTCCGTTGCTAGGTGGGTAGGGGGCTTTGGGCAATTCCTTCTATGGCTCTTCCTGAAGGAGGTAGATCTTTGACAAAGTGGGGGGAGGGCTGAGTTTCTGCCTCCCTTTTAGGGGAAATATTCTGCCCTTTTAATATTTCCTCGAAATATCTCATTTTCTTTGGAGAGGTTTGGGTGCTAACTTCCTACAGGACCAAAAGAATTGGGAATACCTGTTGCGAAAAGAGAAATTCGGTCTCAGTTTGGACAATGCAATTTGCATTTGACCAGAAAACAAAGAACCAATGGGAAAGTGCTGGCCATCAATCTTTCTTTTCCCCCATAGAATTGGCTTATATAAAAAAAGCAATGGATGCTGTCACTCATCTCTTTTTTAAGTAGTTTTCTTGCCTGAAAGGAAGAAAAATAGATTAAGAAACAAAAAGAAAAGGTTCAAAAAAAAAAAAAGCCCAAAGAAACTCTACTTCCTTGGGCTTCTCTAAGGAGGCTTTAGCTTGTTACGGTAAACTCATGTTATGGTCCATTCTTCATCCCATCTTGATCATCATCTTTCCGGGGGTGGGGGAAGAGTTAGGGCAACTGAATGGAGCTGAGTGTTTAATGGCCGGATGCCTTTCCTGTCACCAATGCGGAGTTCTGTTCAGCAGATATATTCTAAGCGTGCCCAGGGAGAGAAATATCTGCCTCTACCTAGGATCGAACTCACAGCCTCCTGATTGTGAGGCGAGAGCTCCACCTCTAGGCCACTGCACCACTCGATTTACAGTCCACCTATGAAATGTATGAACTTCATCCTCACCTGCCAAACTTAAACTGCCCCGCTCCATGTAATAACAACAGATTTTAGGATCGAACTCATAGCTTCTTGATTGTGACATGATAGCAGTGTTCCAGTATTTGAGGGGCTGCCCCAAAGAAAAGGGGGTCAAATTTTTCTCCCAAGCACCAGAGGGCAGGACAAGAAACAATGGATGGAAACTGATCAAAGAGAGAAGCAACCTGGAATTAAGGAGAAACTTCCTAACAGTGAGAGCAATTAACCAGTGGAACTTCTTGCCACAAGAAGTTGTGGGTGCTCCATCGCTAGAGGTTTTTAAGAAGAGACTGACAGTCACTTGTCTGAAATGGTATAGTAGTGATGGCTAACCTTTTTGACATCGCGTGCCAAAAGCGGGGGAAGCGTGATGGGGTCGCATGCATGTGTGCCCACACCCATAATTCTATGTGCCCCACCCCGCGCATGTGTGTGTGACCCCTCCCACATGCTTTCCACGCTTTTGGCACGCGGTGGGCCCGTTAGGTCCATTTTTTGCCCTCCTCAGGCTCCAGAGCCTTTCTAGGAGCCTGGGGAGGGCGAAAACAGCATTCCCCACACACCCCCAGAGGCCCTCTGGAGGCCGGAAACGGCCTGTTTGCTGACTTCCAGTGGGCCCAGAAGGCCCAAAAATCAACTGGCCGGCACGCACATGTGCGCCAGAGCTGAACACATGTGCCTACCGATATGGCTCTGTGTGCCACAGGTTCACCATCACGGGTATAGGGTCTCCTGCCAGAATAGGGGGCTGGACTAGAAGACCTCCAAGGTCCCTTCCAGCTCTATTTTATTGTAAGAGGATGGCCAGGACAGGAGAAACAATACCACAAGGCTAGAATTGGCAGTATACATTCCCGTAAAAGAAAAAGGAGACTCTTTTGAGGACCATAATGTTCACATTTTGGACAGGGCGTGAAACATTTCAAAGCAAAAAAAGAAAACTCCAGTTGCTAATGACCAGAGTTCAATTTAACTCCAAAAATATTTACTTTTTCCCCCAAGTGCTGGAATAAGATGAGGCATCAACACATCAGGAGCTTGACTTGGCATAAGTTGTTTTTTTGTTCCGTTTTTAAATTGTTGGGTTGTTAAGAGTCTTAATACGGTTTTTATATTTGTTTTAATTTTTGATTAGAGCTGCCCAGGATTTGTTAGGAGATGGGTATCTGTATAAATCTTTTAAATAAAATAAATATTGTGATTTTCTCGTCATCCTCAATGGATTTTTGCAGACTCCAGGACTGAAATGACAAAAGTTTAGGGATTTGTTTGCAGATAAGAAATATGGGGAAAAGAGGCCGTTTCCTGTAATTTAAGAAGAAGTAATAAGCTACTGAGATAGTTTATATTTGTGAGGAAGTTAGGAAATCATTTGTTTATGTTTTTTTTTTCTTTACTATATTATTTCTTTTCTTTCTGTTTCTCTATTTTTGCTTTTTCTTTCTTTCCGGTTACTTCCAATCTTCCATTTTAGTCTTCTATCCTTTTTAGCTTGTATTAGTTTTTGATGTTGTTAATTACAATCTTTAATAAAAATCACTGTTTTAAAGAAAAGATACGGAGGATCTCAAAACTTTCTTCTAGGACTGAAGAATTTCCAAATATGCCTTTGCCTCCAGCTGAAAATGAGGCATGCCTTTCCGGATTAATCTACCTTTTGTCCCTGAACTCAATTTTACTTAATCATGCTTATTTTGAGGACAGTGTTTTAAGTTTACGGAGATAAAAGTCAATGTGAAAATATAGTATACCCCTAAAAAGGGAACAATGCATAACCTTTAAAGATAAAGGTTCCCCTCGCACATATGTGCTAGTCGTTCCTGACTCTAGGGGGCGGTGCTCATCTCCGTTTCAAAGCCGAAGAGCCAGCGCTGTCCGAAGACGTCTCCGTGGTCATGTGGCCGGCATGATTAAACACCAAAGGCGCACGGAACGCTGTTACCTTCCCACCAAAGGTGGTCCCTATTTTTCTACTTGCCTTTTTTACGTGCTTTTGAACTGCTAGGTTGGCAGAAGCTGGGACAAGTAACGGGAGCTCATCCCTTTACGCAAAATTCCTTTCATTCTTAAAGAGCCTGCCTTTCTTTCCAAAGACTACAAAGGGAGATAGATGTTAAGAAGTGTGAAATATAAATAATACAAAGAAGGGGAGGGGAGAGGAGGAGGAGGAAGGGAGGAAAGGAAAGGAAGAGGAAGAGAAGGGAAAGGACAGGACAGGAGAAAAGGAAGGGAAGGGAAGGGAAGGAAAGGAAAGGAGGAGAAAGGGAAGGAAAGAAGAAGGAGAAAGGGAAGGAAAGGAGGAGGGAGGGAAGGGAAAGAAGGAGAAAGGGAAGGAAAGGAGGAGGATGAAGGGAAGGGAAAGAAGGAGAAAGGAAAGGAGAAGGAAGGAAAGGAGGAGGAGGAGGAAGGGAAATAAGGAGAAAGGGAAGGGAAAACAGAAGGAGAAAGGGAAGGAAAGGAGGAGAAAGGGAGGAAAGGAGAAGGAGGAAGGGAAGGGAAAGAAGGAGAAAGGGAGGGTAAGGAGGAGGAGGAAAGGAAAGAAGGAGAAAGGAAAAGGGGAGGAAGATAAAATAATGAAAAAGGGAAGGAGGGAAGGAAGGAAGGAAAGAAAACCTCCGAGCCCCTTTCAAATCCTCCAGAGTCTTCATCCTTGAAGAGTACAACTATTTAGTGTCCAAAACAAAATAAAAGACTACGCTGTGAAAGGAAGAGGTGAGGCAGCTAAGAATAAGAGGAAGAAACATACGATGGGGAAAAGAGATCAATAGAGGAAAAAAAAATTGGTGAGGTCTATTACCAACGGAGGCTACAATGCCCCTATCAAAAGAGATTGGGAAGGGGGTCACGGAGATGCAGTTGCAAAGCCAGCCAATGGCCCACTTGTATCTCCTGTCAGGCCTGGAAGCCATCTTCTGCATTGGGCCTTCAGGCCTGCCACATTTACTACCGTGGGAAACAGGGAGGGGGGATTGTATGGAGCCAGGGTGATATATAGTCATAATAACATTCCTTTCTCAGAGAGTCAAGGACATCTTGCCCTGCACCTGGAGGGGTGTGACTGGGAGGCATCTCCAGTTGGGATGGTGCTTTGATTGGACCATATGATGGACTTGTGGGTGTTGGACAGGGACTTGGACTTTCCTTTGGGTGCGGAAAACCTGGAAGATTTCAGATTAGGGTTTTCCCAGATGTGCCAATACGACATCTCTAATAAAATGGAACTTTGAGGAACTTCAAGCCTCGGAGTCTTCTTTCATTGGAGGTGTTATTTGGAACCCTGACATTTCCATCTTGAAAGCTTCTGTTGACCCCTGAGTCTTCTGTTTACTTCTTAACACTTGGGCCGCTTCATATTTTCCTTGATCCTTCAGAAACGAGTTGTTCCGTGACCGGACTACATGCATCTGGGGAGCCAGAGATCTTTCAATATTCCTTCCTGCCAACAATTGCTGGGAACTCCTCGGCCTTTCCATTTGTCTTTCATCTTCCTCCATTCTTCTTCCTTCGCAGTCGCCTCGGTGACCGGCAAGATGAGCTGTTATGACTCCGTCCAGACCAAAGCCACCACCTCTCAGGGTTGCTTGGGATCCCTCCGGGAAGAGCTCTTCCCTGCTATTCCAAGCCCTCCACCCATTCGCAGGACCAACCTTCCCTTCAACGTGGCCTTTAACCCCAATCACCACATCGTTCCGTTGATGCTGGACGATAGCCTGGCCAGCGAATGCAGCCCTTCCAGCCAGGAGAGCAGCTCCAGTGACGCCCTCACCTACAGCGTCCAGAATCAAAGGTAAGCAAGTTGTGTTCACCCAGGGCGTGGCACGAAGGCAACACAGCCAGAGAACCGGTATGAGTCCCTTTATTGGCACCAACTTTGCCCCCAACGTCCCGTTTACTCTCCGGCCTGGAGAAAAACTCTCCCACCAATCTGCAACAGCTGCTGGCTGCAGATACTCCAGTCCAAATGCTGTTAGCAGAATGACTGCAAATCAGTCACTCCAGCGGGGCAAGATAATGAGTGCCAGAAGCGAAGAATAATTCCAGCAAGACAAGATAAGCACACAGTAGCATGGCACTAATTCAAACAGTCAGGAGGAATGCCAGGAATGCAGGCCCAATGCTCAACACTAGATGAATTCAGCGTTTGTTCCCAACAAACGCCCCTCCCAACTGCCTCTCCTTTAAACTCCATCCCCAGGTGTGCCTTGTGAAGGGAATCGGGACCCTTTCCTTCCTCATAAGGTACGCAACCCACGTTGCTCTCTTCTGCGTTCTTCCCTGCGTGCCCTAGGATGAGGAGGGGGTGGGCCTTGGCCTTCATCTGAACCCCCTCTCCCTTGTTCTACCTCTCCCCTGCTCTGCCCAGACTGACTTTGCCCTTCCCCAGTTTCCTCCACAGCCAATGGACCCACTCTCCCGCTCTCTGTCAGCTGTTCGTCTCCCGTCTCAGATTCAGACTCCGATGGGGGCATGAAACAAGCAGCCCAGAAGCAGGAAAAAAGGGAGTCACCTGGCCACTTATTTGTCCCCAGGGAGCAATAATGACCCATCCCCAGAAAAGAAAAAGGGGATTACACTCGGGCTGTCTTCTTTGGAATTTGGACCCAAATGGGTCACAGGCCTTCCTTATCTAAAAAAAGTGCATCGGGAAGTCTGCAATACAGATAGTTCTCAACTTACGATCCATTGTTTGAAGACGCTTGCAAAAAGGGTTGTAAAATCAGATCTGGTCACGTTACCCCATTTAGCAAGCAACATGATTCAGTAATATTGGGCTTACATATGGTGGCAAGTCAAGGACTGCTGTATAGCAATAGCACTTAGACTTATGTACCGCTTCACAGTGCTTTCCAGCCCTCTCTAAGCGGTTTACAGAGTCAGCACCCCAACAATCTGGTTCCTCGTTTTACCCACCTTGGAAGGGTGGAAGGCTGAGTCAACCTTGAGCCTGGTTAGATTCGAACTGCGAAATTGCAGGCAGCCGGCAGGCAGCAAAAGTAGCTTGCAGTACTGCATCCTCACCACTGCGTCACCGTGGCTCATGGTGTTCTGACCTAGACTTCCTGAGTCAGTAAAACACATGAATAGTCCCAAAAACCTGTTATGTTTTTTTTTAATTTGATTTATATGTTTTAATAGCTGTGAATTCTGTTAATTCACAGCTGAGTCCCAAATAGTTGCAAAGAGTCCTTCAGGATAAGGCTGATAATCATTCACCTTTAACTCCCTTGACACGCTGCCAAAGACCTAATTGGCAAAGTCACATGGAGTCCAGAATCAAACACAGCTTCAGACTTTAAACTGCGCAGAATTAACAACGTTGCTTCCTGCAAAGGCCCACATGCCTTTGCTCCTCTTTTAAGCCTTATGGGAGGGGCCAGTCATCTCCAAGCCCTACTCCTGAGTTGTCCCTTTTGTTTTAGCTGTTCTTGCCTTCTGGCAGCTCTGTGCATGCGCGCACTGGGAACAGGCTCCTCCTGTTCCTCTGCCTTACTGAGGTCCGACTCTGGACGCTCCGGAGGCAGCTCGTACCTCCCAGATGGCCCTTTCTCTTCCTTCCTTCCTTCCTTCCTTCCTTCCTTCCTTCCTTCCTTCCTTCCTTCCTTCCTTCCTTCCTTCTCCTCTTCCAATCTTCTCCTTTATCTTTCCTTTTTCCCTTTCTCCTTTTCTGTTCCCTTCTTGTATGGTCAAATGCAAAAGGGGAAAACATTTCTCCCTTTGTTTTGTTTTGAGGTTGTTTTGCTAGCCCTCTGCCAGTGAAAACAGAGCCTGAGAAGGCTGTGCATACCCTATCCCCCCGGGCACCGTTTTTGCTAGCAGATGGACCACGGGCTGGTCCTTTGATATTTCCAGAGCGGTCCCGCAGGCCAAATCTAAGCACCCCGTGGGCTGGATCTGGCCCCCCAGGCTTTGAGTTTGATCTAGCCTGGCTAAGTGGCTCAGTGGCTAAGACGCTGAGCTTGTCGATCAGAAAGGTTGGCAGTTCACATCCCTAGTATAAGTCTCCTGCGTGAGCAGGACAGAGGTGGGTTTCAGCAGGTTCTGACCAGTTTTGGAGAACCGGTAGTGGAAATTTTGAGTAGTTCAGAGAACCGGTAGTGGAAAATTTGAGTAGTTCGGAGAACCGGTAGTGGAAATTTTGAGTAGTTCTGGAGAACCGGTAGCGGAAATTTTGAGTAGTTCTGGAGAACCGGTAGTGGAAATTTTGAGTAGTTCGGAGAACCGGTAGTGGAAAATTTGAGTAGTTTGGAGAACCGGTAAATACCACCTCTGACTGGCCTCTCTCCCATCTATTCTCAGCTTCCCGAGTCCCAGCTGATCGGGAGAAAATGGGGATTTTGCAGTATCCTTCACCTGGAGTGGGATGGGAATGGGGATTTTATAGTATCCTTCCCCTGGAGTGGGGAGGGAATAGAGATTTTACAGTACCCTTCCCTTGGAGTGGGGAGGGAATGGGAATTTTACAGTATCCTTCCACTGCCATGCCCACCAAGCCATGCCACGCTCATCAAGCCACACCCACAGAACCGGTAGTAAAAAAAATTTGAAACCCACCACTGGAGCAGAAGGTTGGACTAAATGACCTCCAAGCTCCCTTCCAACTCTGTTACTGTTAACTTTTTAATTTTAAAACCCCTGATAATAAGGACTCATCGGTAGTCCTGTTTCTAAACAACAACCGGTGAATTTCTTTCTTTCTTTTTTCTACCTGAGCACCAGTTCTCCTGTGGACTGCAATTACCCTGAACAACTGGAGCCTACAATCAACTTTGAAGCTCCCTGTTTTCACCCAAATAGCCATCCTGCTCTGCATCAGCACGGCCAGTATTCCCAACACGAGATGTCTCACTTCCCGATCCATCTTTCTGGCAACACCTTGCCCAGTGTCCGACTCACAACAGCTACACCCAGTAAGTCCACAACGTTTTTCTCGCTCCCTGGAAGTAACGGACTTGTGACCTATGGAGCAGCCGAGTGTCCTCAAGGTTTCCTACAGAATCACGTAGGAACTACTCACCTCCTACTACAGCCATCCGCTGGGAGCTCAGGTGAGTGTACCTCCTAACAGAAGGTCTATCCGGTATCGGGATTGTTCTTCCTCAAGGGTGGGGGGAAAGGCAAACAAAGGCCCTCCGTTGGTGTTACAGGTGCTCCTCAAGCTAACAGAGCGCAAAATTAATGTTGAGTGAAACATTGGCGTTCAGTGAGTTTTGCCCCGTTTTTACGACTGTTCTTGCCACTGTTGTTAAGTGAATTGTGGTAGTCCTTGATGTACGACCATAATTGAGGCCCAAATTTCCATTAAGTGAGACAGTTTGTAAACGTTGTCACGTTTTACGAGCTTTCTTGCTATTAAATGAGTCACTGCAGCTGTTACGTTAGTAACCCGGTTGTTAAGTGAATCTGGATTCCCCGTGGACTTAGCTTGCCAGAAGGTCGCAAAAGGGAATCACGTGACCCTGGGACGCTGCCACCGTCATAAGTGTGAACCGGTTGCTAAGCGGCTGAATTGTGATCGTGGGAATGTTGCGATGGTTGTTAAGAGTGAAAAACGGGCATAAGTCACTCTTTTCAGTGCCGTTGTAACTTGAAACGGTCACTAAATGAACTGTTGTAAGTTGAGGACTGCCTGTATTGTCTTCCACAAAGAGATTGTGAGGGATCCCATAATTAGCCTTCAGCAACATGGAGCCAGTCCTGGCTGACCATAACAAGAAGTTTGTCTCTGGAGATTCTCCATCATCCAGGTTACGGTTGTCCCAAAAATGCTTTTCCAAAAGGAAACTGGACTTCCTTGTGGTCCCCCCCCCTTGAAAACATTTCGCTTTTCATCCAAGAAGCTTCTTCAGTTCTTCAGAACCTTTAGTACAACAAGAGGTTTAGACTTGGTTAATAAACTTGAGGGGTTCAGGAAGAGAAGAGAAACTAATCACTTCTGCATAGTTGCCAAGATAATCTACGAGAAACCCAACCTCAGGCTTTATCTCAGGGGTGAAATTCAGCAGGTTCAACAGGTTCTGACGAACTGGTAGCGGAAATTTTGAGCAGTCCGGAGAACCGGCAAATACCACCTCTGGCTGGCCCCAGAGTGGGGTGGGAATGGAGATTTTGCAGTATCCTTCCCCCAGGAGTGGGGTGGGGTGGGGTGGGAATGGAGATTTTGCAGTATCCTTCCCCCAGGAGTGGGGTGGGAATGGAGATTTTGCAGTATCCTTCCCCCAGGAGTGGGGTGGGAATGGGGAATTTTGCAGTATCCTTCCCCTGGAGTGGGGAGGAAATGGGGATTTTGCAGTATCCTTCCCCTCGGGGGCCAACCAGAGGTGGTATTTGCCAATTCTCCGAACTGCTCAAAATTTCTGCTACCGGTTCTCCAGAACCCATCAGAACCTGCTGGATTTCACCCCTGGTTCTGGGCTAGTTATTGTTGCTGCCTTCCCTTGGGTGCAGATTAACGTGTGGCTGTTCTCTCTTCTTCCTTTCTTTAGGTTACCTCCCTGCTTTTCAAGCTTTCCCGTGGAATGAGTTTTCCACACAAGGACCATCCTTCACCCACTCCTTCTCCTCCCCGATACCATTTTCTGGCTTGGCAATTGGGGGAGGCTCTGCCCAGCAGGCACCCTTTGCCCCAAACCAGACCCTGCCTGCCAGCTCCTGCCTCCTCCAGCTGCCAAAGGCCCCTGGGCCTGGTGCCACCTTGCTGTTTACCACCAAGCCACTGGTGCCAACGAATCTGGAGCCCCCGTCTCAGCCACTGCCCAAGATGCCGGCAGAAGAAGACTCCGATCCTGGCGATGGTCCTCAGGAGATGGAGAGCGTGTCGCTGCCAGGTTGGTGCAGAAGACGCTCTTCCCTTAGTGCAGGGGTCAGCAACCTGCGGCTCTGGAGCCGCTTGTGGCTCTTTCACCTCTCTGCTGCGGCTCCCTGTCACTCAAAATATGCGTCACAACCACCAATGTGCGCACTCACTGGCACATGATTTATTGAGCTTTTCAACCCCCAGTAGGCCAACCATGGATAAATCCAAGAAAATAAAAGTTTCAGAAGAAAAGTGAACGTTTAATTCAACTGCATAGGCTAGTTTTGTGGCCGCTCAAGAAATAGTCAGGCACGGGAAGGGTTTTTGTGACTCCCGGTGTTTTCTTTTCTGTGGGAAACGGGTCCAAATGGCTCGTTGAGTGTTTAAGGTTGCAGACCGCTGCCTTAGTGTGTCTGATCAAAATAAGAATTTGGGTGCATTCTTCCAGGAAAGAAGGCTTAAGGAAGAAAGAAAGCAGAGCATCCCTCATTGGGATTAGTTAAAGTTAAATGCGGGATAAGACAAAAAAGAAATAGAAACTCAGATGGCACCAGAGCAGTGGTGGGTTCCTCCCGGTTCGGTCCGATTCGGCCGAGCCGGTAGCGGTGACGATATGACATCACCGAACTGGTTCTCCCCCCCCCACCCACGTTATTCTTACCTTTTATTTGGTCCCACCCCCAATCTATTGCTGCCTCCTGAGTCCCAGCTGATGACTAGAGGGAAAAAAACTGTTTAAACTCTTGCCGCGAGGCTTCAAAGGGCCGTCCTACAGCTGATCAGTGTTAAAAGCAAACAAATGAGTCGGGTCGTAAGTGCGAGGACCTTCCAGAAATGACTCTGATCAGCTAGCCACGCCCCCTAGTCACATGACCTCCAAGCCACACCCACAAAATAAGCCACGCCCACAGAACCGGTAGTAAAAAAATTTAGAACCCACCCCTGCAGCAGAGTAAATGGAAAAAGGGGATGGGGAGGGGGGAAGAAAGAAGATTATAAATATAAATGTACAATTATGAGATGATAGAGTGGGGTAAAATGGTAAAGAAATTGAAAAGAAAGTATATATTATTAGAAAAAGTGGAGTTGCTCGGATACCAAATAAGGGAAATATTGCGCAACAAAGGAGAAAGAAAGGAGAGAGGAGGAGAGGGAGAGAGAGGAATGGAAGAAAAGGGAAGGAGAGGAAGAAAGGATAGGGGAGGAGCAGGAGAGAAGGTGAGAAAGGGGGGAAAAGAGGGGAGGAGTGGCCTGTTTTTCACCCTCCCCGAGCCTCCCTGCACTTACCTGCATCCAAAACAGGCCGCATGGGGACTCCTGGGAAGGGCGGGGTGGGGTGGGCGGAGCCAGCCAGGAGAGTGGGATTTGGGGGTTCTCCGAACTGCACAGAATCTTAGCTAGAGGTTCTACCGAACCCCTGCGATCCCCGAGCAGCCCCACCCCTGGGCTGGTTCCTTTATTGCAAAGTCGGGGAACGATGGCCCTTTTATGACTTGTGGACTTCAACTCAGTGGTGAAATGTAAAATTTGTTACTACCAGTTCTGTGGGCGTGGCTTGGTGGGGGGGGAGTAATGTGACTGAGTGGGCGTGGCCACTTTTTTTTTAACTTTTAAAACCATTTTTTCTACAACCTCTTCGTAAAAAAAATGTTTTTAAAAGCCTCTGACGATCAGGCTACTCAGCTGGGATCGTCAGAGCCTTTTAAAAGCATTTTTTTGTACAACCTCTTCAGCTGGAGATTGTATAAAAAATGCTTTTAAAAATTAAAAAAAAAAAAGATGATTGCGCAGCTCAGCTGGGCATAGGGGGTGGGGCAGGGATGTTTGCTACCGGTTCTCCGAACCTTCCGCCGCCATCTCTACTGGATCGGGCAATCCGGTCTGAACCAGGAGTATTTCACCCCTGCTTCAACTCCCAGAATTCCTGAGCCAGCCATGCATGGAATTCTGGGAGTTGAAGTCCACAAGTCATAAAAAGCCCATCGTTCCCCTACTCCTGCTTTACTGCAATAGAAGACGGAGAGCAAGGGAGCATGGGACGTGTGTTCTGCAGTGATGAATCCAAGGAGGACACCAACTGGAGGGCTTTGTGGACAACCCAAGCATCAGATAAGCTCCTCAATGACCAACCCCAGTTTGATTGCATGTTGCTTTTGACTCAGCTCCTGTGGCCTAGAGGTGGAGCTCTTGCCTCACAATCAGGAGGTTGTGAGTTCAATCCTAGGTAGAGTCAGGTGTAGGGTCTCCTACTTGGGCAGTGGGTTGGACTAGATGACCTGCAGTGGGTTGGACTAGATGACCTGCAAGGTCCCTTCCAACTCTGTTAATCTAATCTTTTCCCTCAACCCAGACAATGCCTTCACGAGACAGACCTGACTCACTGATCCTTATCTTTTCAGATTTTTCCGAAGACAGCAAGACCGAACTCAACTTTTCTCCTCGTCGGGCCGGAGATGAAAAAACAGCCTGATTATTGTTAAGCCGTTCTTGGCAAGATCAACCAAAACATGATATACTTTGAATGTAAGCCTCTTGGAAATCCCAACCAAAAGAAAATGCCAGTACAATCACTAGAAGGACTTGTTCTTATTGTTGCTGCTATTATTATTTATTCTTCTTGTTGCACTTATTATCTGCTGAGATAAAGAAGCGGTAATAAAGCAAATCTCATTCTTTCCTTTACACGCAAGAATTATTTACACGCCGTTCTTCCAAATGGCTTTTTAGACCCCGGTGAGCAATAACGTTTCCAAAGGGCATACTCAGTTCAGTTTAGTTTATTACAGTCAGAGACCAGAACATATAAAAACACTCCGTAAATGCACAATTAAAAATTCTAGCATAAAATAATAAAATGACTAATGATAAATTCCAGTCTGTCAATTATATACATGGTCTAACTATGAAGAGCCTTGGTGGCGCAGCAGACTAAAGCACTGTTAAGTAACACCTGCAATTATTGCAAGTTCAAATCTCCCCAGGCTCAAGGTTGACTCAGCCTTCCATCCTTTCGAGGTAGGTAAAATGTGGACCCGGTTTCTGGGGGCAATAAGCGGACTTTGTATAAAAAAGAACACCGCTTGGGGGGGGGGGCAAAAGCCCTACTAAGCAGGTATATACAAAAATATGAAGGCTATTGCTTAAAAGCATTGTAAGCCGCCCTGGGTCTCCGGAAAAGGGCGGCATATAAATCGAACCAAAAATAAATAAGTAAGTAAGTAAGTAAATAAGTAAGTAAATAATAAATAAATAAATAAATAAATAAATAAATAAATATACATACTAAAATTACAATCCATAAACTTAGTCAAGGAAAGAAATAAGCAGAGCAAAGGGTTTGCCACAGGGGTGGGTTCTACTTACCTTTACTACTGGTTTGCAACAGGATGCTTCTACGCATGCGCAAATCACAGATGACGACATCCGGGGCAGTGGGTGTGGCCTCCTGCTGGTTTTACTACCGGTTCTTGCAAACAGGTCCGAACCGGGGGCAACCCACCACTGGTTTGCCACATTCCTTATAGAACATAAATATGGTGGATCAGACACGTATTTCCGGTGAATTCGCAGTGCTACTGCGCAGAAACTATAGGTATCTGCGCTGTACAGTAGCGGCCAAAATTGTGGAAACCTTTTGGGAAAAGTGTATTTTCTAAAATTAGCTAATAACACCACTTTTTTGGGGAGTAGTGCCATAAAATTATATATCAATGGAAAGATTTAATCAAGAATGTAACGCAGTAACTTTGATGAAGGATTTGCTATTAGAATAGCAGTTACAGTATAAAGAAGAAAAGTGAAACACGTAGAAAAAACAAGATAGACAAAAATGATCACCATAGAAAAAGCGAGATAGACAAAAATGATCCCCATGTTAGTGAATACTTAGTTGGGTAACCTTTAGCATGAATGACGGCCTTACAACGTCTTCCCATGGAGGGAACCAAGTCTTTTATCTGTTATCTGTTTAGTCTGTTATCATGTGAAACCAAGATTGAATGATGGCTTCTATTAACTGGGTTTTATTGCTCGATCGCTTCTGACTAACCAGTTTCTTTAGTCGCCTCCATAGATTTTCAATTGGGTTAAGGTCTGGGCTATTCCCAGGCCATTCCAGTAGTGGAATAGGATTATCTTGAAACTCCACACACACAAAAAGGGGTGTTATTAGCCATCAAACCTCAAAAATACACTTTTCCCAAAAGGTTTCCACAATTTTGGCCACTACTGTAGATATGGACTGTTCATCCTTAAGCAGCCACTGGAGACAAGCAGTGTGGGAATGGCCAGGATACCTAGTAATTATTGGAAGGATATGGGTTTTTTTTCTGAATCTCTGTGTAAAAGGAACATCGAAGGAGTATGTGACCCACAGTCTCCACCTCTCCTGAGCCACAGGAACAGTGTCTTTCCGTCAATGGTATCTTTTTATACTTGCTGTACAGGACGGCCGATGGAAGCACAGGGCACAGTGCGAGCGAAGATGCTTTCTGGTGGTTTAAAGGGTATACTCTAAAATGGGGGTGTCAAACTCAAGGCTTGGGGGCCTGATCTGACCTGTGGAGTGCTTAGATCTGGCCCACAGAGCCACCCTGGAAACAATGAAGGACCGGCCTACAGTGTCTCTGCCAGCAAAAACTGCTCTGGAGGGCCGCAGGCCCCGTTTTCGCCAGCAGACGATTGCGAGAGGCTGTCGCGGCCGATAACAGAGCTCGGGAGCCCGTTTTCACCGGCAAGAGTGCTCGGACCACCACAGGTGCTCCTGACACGAGTGACATCGAGCATAGCCACACACACCCCTGGCCACGCCTCCACAGGCCCCCGAGGTCAAACATAACCCTGATGCGGCCCTCAATGAAATCGAGTTTGACGCGCCTGCTCTAAAACCAACAGCCCTCAAACATTTGGACATCAGGGACCGGTTCTGTGGAGAGAGGTTTTCCCGCGGACCGGAGGGAAAGTGGTTTCGTGTGTTGCCCGCATCCCCCAGATGGGGCTTCGTTTGTTTCCGGGGCCCGGTTTTCTGGCATGCCGTGGCCCATTGCCAGTCCACAGACATGGGGTCGGGGACCCCTGCTCTAAAACGAGGCCATTCTTTTCTGGTTCGCTCATTTCTCATTTTTTTTGCAAGCTCGGTGTGGCTCGCTTGCTAAAATTCCTTTTGTGATCTTTGTAATCAAAATTCAGATCCTTGGCCGCTGGTTCCTATTTATGATGGTTGCAAAAATTCCGTGGTCACGTTGGATTCCCCTTTTTTGGACTTTCCGACAAGCAAAGTCAATGGGGAGAAATCAGGTTCACTGAAGACCTTGGTTCCTAATTTAACAACTGTGGCGATTCATTTAACGCCCGTGGGAAGAAAATGTAAAATGGGGCAAAACTCACTTAATAACTGTCTTGCTTAACAACAGCAATTTTGGGTTCAATTTTCGTAGTCAATTGATTACAGGTAGTCCTCCACTTATGACCACAATTGAACCCCAAATTTATGTTGCTTATGATCACAATTAAGGCCAACATTTCTGTTGTTAAGTGAGTTTTGCCCCGTTTTATGACTTTTCTTGCCATATTTGTCAAGTCAATCGCTGCAGTTGTTAAATTACTAACACTCTTGTTAAGTGAATCTGGCTTCCCTATTCTCTCTTTCTTTCACTCTTTCTCTCTCTCTCTTTCTTTCTCTCTCTCTCTTTTTCTTTCTCTTTCTTTTTTCTCTCTCTTTTTCTCTCTTTCTTTTTCTCTCTTGCTTTTTCTTTCTTTCTCTCTTTCTCTTTCTCTCTTTCTCTCTCTTTTTTTTTTATTGAAAAAGTTTTTCAAATACAGATTTTTCCCCCTCTGGTTTCTCTTCAGATCATATAAATCTTTCGCCTTTTACTCTCTTTCTCTTTCTTTTTTCTCTCTCTTTTTCTCTTTTTCTTTTTCTCTCTCTCTCTCTTCCTTTTTCTTTCTTTCTCTTTCTCTCTTTTTCTTTCTTTTTCTCTTTCTCTTTTTCTTTCTCTCTCTTTCTCTTTCTCTCTTCCTTTCTCTTTCTCTTTTTCTTTTTCTTTCTCTTTTTCTTTCTCGTTTTTTTCTCTCTCTTTTTTCTTTTTCACTCTCTTTCTCTCTTTCTTTCTCTTTCTCTTTCTCTCTCTCTTTTTCTTTCTCTGTCTTTCTCACTCTCACTCTCTCTTTTTTTCTCTTTCTCTTTCTCTTCTCTCTCTCACTCTCTCTCTCTTTTCTTTTTTTGAAAAAAGGGGAAAGCCTCCTTTCATCTTAGGAAGGCCCGAATGTGGAGGGAATGAATTTCAGTGACAGCTTCTTACAGTTGGGGCATCGCCCCAGGGGCTTGCCCTTCTCAGAAACATTTATGACCACTCTTCCCAAATCATGCATTCAATCAACCTCCAGCCTGCCAGGATCGGTGGTCCAGGACATCTAGAAAGTAGAAGGGGAATAACTTGATCGGATTTAGTATCTTTAATACAATCAGGCAGCATTACTTAACGTGGAATTAAGCCTCATTGAACTTAATGGACTTTAACTGCCAGTGCAAAGGACTGCATGCGTAAAAAAACCCAACAACAAAATAACTACATTACTATTTTTAATGCATCCAGGCACAATGTTTTGCCACAATAGCTATAGCAATGGGATGAAAATGTTTGGTGGGGAAAAACGTTAGCACAAGACCACAACTGAGCCCCAAATTTCTCTTACTCTGTGAAATATTTGTTTCGTGAGTTCGCCTCATTTTACGACTCTTCTTGCCACAGTTGTTAAGTGCGAATCACTGCCGTTGTGAAGTTAGTAACAACGGTTCTTCAGTGAATCTGGCTTCCCCGTTGCTTGTGAGACGGTCGCAAAAGGGGATCACATGACCCCTGGACCAGTGGTGAAATCCAAATTCTTTTACTTTTTCTTCTGTGGGCGTGGCTTGGTGGGTGTGGCTTGGTGGGCGTGGCAGGGGAAGGATACTGCAAAATCTCCAGTCCCACCCCACTCCAGGAGAAGGATACTGCAAAATCCCAATTCCCTCCCCATTCCTGGGGGAAGGATATTGCAAAATTTCCATTCCCACCCCACTCCAGGGGAAGGATACTGCAAAATCCCAATTCCCTCCCCACTCCAGGGAGAAGGATATTGCAAAATCTCCATTCCCACCCCACTCCTGGGGGAAGGATACTGCAAAATCCCAGTTCCCTCCCCACTCCAGGGAGAAGGATATTGCAAAATCTCCATTCCCACCCCACTCCTGGGGGAAGGATACTGCAAAATCCCAGTTCCCTCCCCACCCCAGGGGAAGGATATTGCAAAATCTCCATTCCCACCCCACTCTGGATCCAGCCAGAGGTGATATTTGCCAGTTCTTCAAACTATTCAAAATTTCCGCTACCGGTTCTCCGAACTGCTCAAAATTTCCGCTACCGGTTCTCCAGAACCTGTTAGAACCTGCTGGATTTCCCCCCTGCCCTAAACACTGCAACTGTCATAACTATGAGCCCATTGCCAAGGTTCCAAATTTTTTTTACCACAGGACCATGCGGATGTTGGCAATGGTTGTGTGAAAACTGATTGTAAATCACTTTTTTTCCAGCGCTGTTGTAACGTTGTAACGGTCACTAAATGGACTGTTGTAAATTGAGGACTACCTTTATGTGCCACATTTCAAAGACCTCGAGAAATTCCTTTTCTTTTGGCTTCCACAC